TCTGCTTTCTGACCTTGCATTCCTCAACCAGGATAAGACAGGGACTCCCTAAATGAGCAGTTTAATCATCAATTCCCCCGTTTTACATAATATATTATGTGAACCACTAACTCAAAAATAACTAATCTAAATATTACAAACCTATATCAGTGAGTATGTGTGGATTTGTTAATCATGGAAATCCCTAAACAGCACAGACTTATTTTCTACTATCTATTAAATACAAATTGTAAGAAAAGCTAAGCTAAACCATTTCACATTACACATGTATAATATTGAAATGTGCAGAATCTTTGGCAATTGGACTCCATCCTAAACTGGTATAATCAAGGGGCTATGATGCCGAGTTCCGCTTGACACAATCCCCCTCTGGAGTCCAGACACTGGTGGTGATGGTGAAGAAGAGAGTTGATGAAAACCAAGGACAAGTGAACAATACCTGATAGCTGCTGGAGGTGCCTGGGGTGGAGGAGGGTCGCAAGCTGTTTTGCACTGAAATGACAACTGACAGCAAAACAGAGAGAATCCCTTAAAAAAGGTTTGACAGCCACTATATGATTGGTTTAGAGCCACAGCGCCGCCTCTGTTGGTCGCATACACTTGGCGCAGCCAATCTCCGCTGATTGGATAATTCTGGAAGACCAGCTGAAGCATATCTACATTACGCGGGGCATAAAGGGAGTCTTCCTTCTAGAACTACCGCTTAAGCTCCATTTATTCCAGAAGTATATTCGTCTCAGTGCTAGGGAAAAGTGCCTGTAGGTATTTCGAATTCTCACTTTACCCAACTGGATCTTTACTAAACATAATAAAAACAAATACATCCTAGCATAAATTTCTCATCAACTACGTGTATTCGTACACTATATAGGATGATCCTTATTTCCTCCCTTCAGGAACTTGGTGTCTCAGGCTCTGCTTTCTCTCATCCTACCTTGACGGCCGCACCTACCGGCTAACCTGGAGAGGATCTGTGTCGGAACCTTGTCCTCTTACTACTGGAGTTCCTCAGGGTTCTGTCCTGGGTCCCCTACTCTTCTCGCTCCACACCAACTCTCTCGGCTCTGTCATTCCCTCGCATGGCTTCTCCTACCACAGCTATGCCGATGACACCCAACTAATTCTCTCCTTCGCTCACTCGGACACTCGGGTGGCGGCGCGGATCTCTGCCTGTCTGACTGACATCTCTCAGTGGATCCGCCCACCATCTGAAAATCAACCCCGACAAGACTGAACTACTTCTCTTTCCGGGACAAGATTCTTCTACCCAGGACCTGACTGTTAACTTTGGCAACTCCGTGTTAACGCCCACTTTAACCGCTAGGAACCTCGGCGTGACACTCGACAGCCAACTCTCCCTGACTCCCAACATTACTGCAACAACACAATCCTGTAGATACACGCTCTACAACATCAGGAGAATAGGTCCCCTTCTCACTCAGAAGGCAGCGCAGGTACTGATTCAGGCTCTTGTCGTCTCCCTCCTGGACTACTGTAACTCTCTCCTGCAGGTCTCCCTGCTACCACCATTCCACCTCTGCAGCTCATCCAGAATGCAGCAGCTCCACTGGTCTTTAACCTTCCTAAATTCTCCCACACTCCTCCACTCCTCCGCTTTCTTCACTGGCTGCCTCCATCCACTTCAAAACATTGGTACCCAGGTACCATGCTGTAAATGGATCGGGTCCAGTCTACATCCAGGACATGTTTAAACCCAGGTCTGTCGAAGTTGGTTCTTACAATACCAATCTCTTCCAGTCCTAACAATTTCGATTTTGACACTTTGAAGCCGTTATCCTGTAGCCACCGCTGGACTGTTCTGGTAGCGGACATAATGGTTTCTGGGCTAGTCCGTGCCAGCAGGGTGGTGTCCACATATAATAAGACGACTTGTACTGGAAGTTTTAACTTGGTCAAAATGTTTCTCTTGACTTCTCACCTGGAGGGATACAGAAAAAAGCATTAGCCCGGTTGGTGCAGGTGAATCATCTCCTATCAGGGCCTATTGCATTTAACATGGTGTAAGGATTTGGGGTGTCATAGTGAGTTGGCACTACAACTTTTCTGATGGGCCTCAAATTGTGGCCCGGTTAATCGGAGTATTCCAGGGGGGCCCCATCCTTTCCAAAATGTCTCCAGAAACCCTTCGATTGTTTTTGCTATCCCTAGTTTGTTCTTTCGTTAAGGATGGTAAATTGGGGCCATTATGGTTTTTAATTCCCTTTTGTCCAAAATGTGTCAGGAAAACCATCTAGTTATGTGTTTTCATGGTCAGTGTTTTCCCTACTTAGCATGTCTTTCTTTGGAATGAGTTTTACTTCAAATGTGTGTGCAATATGGTACATGTCAGTGGCCTGCGAGTAATGTAAGTTAACATTTTGGGTGGGCCCGTCTGTGGTGTCAACCCGTCTTCACCATTGGCCCCATAATCTTAGCTTCTCTTCTGCATTGGATGAGCAAGGTGATGGGAGGAGCCCATGTCTCTTTTAACGCATACAAAACTTGTAACTCAGAGTTTAGTTCCAGCTGCTGTGCATTGGTTCCCCACGTAGATCTCGTAGACTTTAACCGTTGGATGTCCATGTACCTTGCTTTCTAACTCCAGTCCATGGTTCCACGAATGGTTCATTGTGCAATGGGAAGGAGCCACCGGTGGTTCGGTCGGGTGCAGTTTGATCACAGTCTTCCACTCTCCCCCACTAGACCTCTGCCTCATTACTCAGTGTCTGTTAGACTTCAGCTTGCAGCAACCGGTGGCAATAGGAGTGGGGCGTGGCACTTCATTGTTGGGTTAACCGGGCAGCCAGTGACAACCAAAAAGGATTAGTCAAAACAGAGCAATTTCCATTTACACAGGACTCAGACAGAAAGTGGCCAGTCCTCTGGTTGACCCTAAAATCCGATAACTGGCGCAGTATTCCTCGATGGTGGCAGAGGCGTGTTTATTGTAGCATACCTAGCACCCAAATTAAGCATACATTTGTAATCTCATCAATTGACATTGCCAGAGTCACCATGGGAAACAGGTTACTGTCAGCTATCGGATCTGGTTACCCCTGTGGTGATGACCCCTTGTTGATGACCCAGGGCCTGATGCCGCAGGCTATGCGGGCTACCCTGTTGTGGTGTTTATGGTGCCCGTGGTCAATAGACATCATAAGGGTATTGAACTGGGTCGGACTGAGGCCTCTGGCCCTTCTCGGTTGGTTGTAGCCACCGTACAGTGACATGACACCCGTCATGGGTTGTGGTCCTGCTTGGTGCGGGGCATTAAGTTGGGGATAGAAAGCCTGTGGAGGAGTGTATAAGGCCCCTTTCTGGTTGCTGGTAGACCGGCGCATAAGGGTAGGGAGGGGGATCTGGTAAGGGCTGTGTTGAGGTGCGCTTCCACCTGAGATGATGTCCACTCTTACCCTGGTTCACATTTTCTCTGCTTTACCTCAGCCATGTTTTTGCCAATTGTAACTGGATATTGTTTAATTCTGCACTTTGTTAATATTTTTCCTTGGCTCAGTCCACATTGTGTTTAAATTGTGTTGACCAAGCATCAAAGTTCATGCCAGATAACCCAACTATTCCTTTTAGTTGGACTTTACTGTCTCCGAGACAGATGACTCTATGGCGCTGGACCGGAGCTGGGTTCTCTGATCGTCCATGGCGTCTTGTGGTTCCATAGTTCCTTATCTCTCTTTAAATAACTAGTTTGTCCCTCACCATCTTTTGGAGGAATATCCATGGGTTGTTGATAGCCACCTTCGCAGGATATTAAAAGTCTGAGCCATTTAATTTATGATTGTCAGACAATATTTGTTTTCTTCTCCTTGATTTAGTTCAAATTCATTCATGTATTGGTCATGTATTGGTGTGGATTTTCTGGTCATTAAAATTTTAGGGTTGTGCTTTGCACAATAAATGCATGCCTAATTCTTTTTATTTTAGTAATTAGTACAGCTAAACTGTGTACATGCATTACCGTCCCTCCTTCTGAGGCATGTATTAATTTAAAACCTGCTGTGGTGCATTATTTCTCATGAACAGCCAAATTATAAATCACTACATAAATATTGCCGCCACAAGGAATTGTGGGACATTATTTCCTTTCCGTTTGTAAAGAATGATCCAGTGGTTCCTGTGCCAACAGGCCGAAGTAGGGAAGCATTGAAGCTCCTTTCCTTAGCATTAGAGAATTCCAACAGCTCTTATCATGGCGGCCGCTTAACAGTACTTCCGGGTGTTTTCACTCAGTGAGGGACCCTCCTAAGCAGAAAGGACTATTGGAACGCAGCCTGAACCAAGCGGCCTCTAAAATAGGACCATCTGAGCTGCGGTAATAGTTGTGCTTTGCCACTCCTGTTGCCCAACAACCTGCTGCGCTTGAAAGAAGCTTTAAACCCCCCAAAACATGTAGCATGCAGATAAGAGAAGGTAATCTTCCTCTTATTTGATTTAGCAGGACAACCTTCAGCTCCAGAGCATGATATATTTCAGCCTGAGATGAACATGAACATCATTATTTTAGATATTAATCATATTACTTATCGCCCGAAGTTGGCCCCCCCGCGACCCTGTGTGCAGGATAAGCGGTTTGACAATGGATGGATGGATGGATGGAATCATATTACTGTACTCCTAAACCAACATTACCCTCTCCTAGGTTTTTCATTTGTTGGGGAGTTTTTCCTGTGCCGATGGAGGGTTTCGGGACAGAGGATGTTGTATGTGTACAGACTGTAAAGCCCGCTGAGGCAAATTTGTAATTTGGGGCTACACAAAATAAAATGAATTGAACATTATGCATCGGCATAGGTTATATAGAGACATGGTTCAATTTCTGGAAATCTAGTGAATGACCAAAAGGAACACGGACCCTTTCATTTCTCCACCATCACGTACCGTGTGCCCAAAACGATCTACATACAAGACTTTAACGAGAGGACAAAATGAAGAATGTGCCAATGTTAGCTTATCTGTTTTACACAGACTCAAACCTCAGGTCACTGCGCTGTGGAATGGTATCATTTATTTTTGGTTTACTTCTTCCATTTTAGGATGATAGTTTTTCACATTACGCGTTTTGTTTATGTCAGAATATTTTGGTCTTACGTCTGAAATCACACCTAAGAATTTAACATGAAGTATTCAGTTTATTTCTGTGGGTCCATAAAAACATCAGAAATATGTTTGGTGGTAGAATCCCGGGCATGACGTGTGTCCTTCATGTGGACATAAAAGAGGTTGTGCGAGTCAGCAGTAGACCGGTTCTGGGAGGCTGGAGGTCATGTAGTCCTGCTCTGTAGACGCCTCTGCTGGCTGCCAATGACACTCGATCAGGGCATCATACAGTTCTTCACTGAGCTCCATGAACTTCCTGTTGGCCTCCACCACATCCAGCTCTGGACTGGGATCTGCAACACAGGCGGTTACTTACAAAAAGCTACACAGAACTGATAGAAATCCTAGATCCCGATTAAATGTTCAGATTCAGGTCGGATTTAAATGACACAATAAACACCGTTGAGAACAAACATCTGAAGAGTAAAGAGACAAAACAAATGAAAACTGTCACAGGAGTCAATGGAAGAGGGGGAATTTGTTTACCTTCAAGTCCGTCATCCGGAACAGCCTCACTTTCCTAGAAGAAGAAGAACACGTGTCAGAGAGTCACGTGTGAATGACGACGGGCTGACCGGGGTTCTAACTTACCTGTGGTGGGGGATACTGCGCGTAATCGTACTGCTGGTAGTTGTAGCCGTACCCTCCTCCAGTCTGATCATAGCCCCAAGAGGGGTAGTAGCCAGGATAAGCCTGCTGCTGGTACTGGTTGTACTGGTCATAGCTGGGCTTGTATCCGGAGCTGGACTGCCACGATCTGTGCTCTGACGGCTGCGGTCGGTTCCTTAAACTCAAGAGGTAGGGAGAGGCAGTCATTTGGCTTGTGCTCTTCAGGCCCAATTCAAAGAGTTGAGCAGATTAACTCACTTGTTAGCAGCCAGGCTTAATCGTAGAGGTTTACCCCCCAGTCCCACAGCGCCCTGACAGTCCTCCAGTGCACGCTTCTGGAGGCGCTCGTCTGGGAATTGAACAAAGCCACAGCCCCTACAGAGACATAGCATAGCTGACCTCCATTTGTATAGGATGCAGGGTATTATAGTCCAACCGACATTAAAAGAAAAGGCCATAGTGAGCTTGAGTAATGCAAGGATTCTCAAGTGACCTCATGAATCTTGTCATTGGTTTTGACACTAACTGCTGCTGGGATTCATGACATCCACTGTGTGGCCTACTGCAGGATAGATTTTGGACCTTCTTTTTCCACCAAGAAGGGGCTTTTTTTCGGGAGAAAGGCGGTTTATGGGTGACACCAGATTATATGGTCATAAAAATGGAGGCGCCCCCCCCCCCCCCCCCAATTATGTTGTAAGGCTAAATGAGCAGCACCACACAAACCTGCACCGATGCAGGCCAACAACGTACACAAACATTTCTCCATATTGAGTGGTACGTTCTAATACTCACTTGGAGTTCCCCATGCTGTCCAGCACCACTTTCCCACCTCTACAGGAAGGGTAGCGGTTGTAAAAGAACTCGTAAAGCATTCCATCATCCACCTCTGGCGTTAGATCTCCTACAAATAGAGAATACATCTGTCTACAGGAAGAAGAAAGAAAAATGTGTCAATGACACTACGCACTCCTGTTACAGGGCACAGCCAGTATATTACAAGTGGGTCCTCCTCATGTTTATGCTTCAGTGACTGAATCGGCAGCCTTCACACAAATCGTAAAACTGGGTTCATACATTTTGACCAGTGGATTTCCATGACCAAAAGGTTTGTGAAATCTCTGTATACAGGAGTGAGAAAATGTATTTAAACGAACAATGAGAATACCATCATACAGTGTTTCCCCTCAATTAGTCCAAGAAAGTCTGTTTTTATGTTTACAATTATCCACTATGGAGGAGTATCATTTGGGGTTTTCCTGATGCCAGTGCTAAAACAAGACTTAAACATACGGGTGCCTAAAGAATTTACAATTCAAATTATGGACCATATAGAAACAGTTACACTGGCTATAACCAGAGACTACGTATGTATTACTTGGGAATCTTTAATAGCACTAGTTGGAAAATGACGCGTCGCGTCCAGAGCCGATGGCCGGAGAGAGAGAGCGACCCCTTCTGCTCAGCGTAGTGGGGTTCCTGTAGTAGCTTCACTAGCAGTCGCCCTCTGATGGGGTTGGTGTAGTAGCTTCGCTAGCAGTCGCCCTCTGATGGGGTTGGTGTAGTAGCTTCACTAGCAGCCGCCCTCTGATGGGGTTGGTGTAGTAGCTTCACTAGCAGCCGCCCTCTGATGGGGTTGGTGTAGTAGCTTCGCTAGCAGTCGCCCTCTGATGGGGTTGGTGTAGTAGCTTCGCTAGCAGTCGCCCTCTGATGGGGTTGGTGTAGTAGCTTCGCTAGCAGTCGCCCTCTGATGGGGTTGGTGTAGTAGCTTCGCTAGCAGTCGCCCTCTGATGGGGTTGGTGTAGTAGCTTCGCTAGCAGCCGCCCTCTGATGGGGTTGGTGTAGTAGCTTCGCTAGCAGCCGCCCTCTGATGGGGTTGGTGTAGTAGCTTCGCTAGCAGCCGCCCTCTGATGGGGTTGGTGTAGTAGCTTCGCTAGCAGCCGCCCTCTGATGGGGTTGGTGTAGTAGCTTCGCTAGCAGTCGCCCTCTGATGGGGTTGGTGTAGTAGCTTCGCTAGCAGCCGCCCTCTGATGGGGTTGGTGTAGTAGCTTCGCTAGCAGCCGCCCTCTGATGGGGTTGGTGTAGTAGCTTCGCTAGCAGTCGCCCTCTGATGGGGTTGGTGTAGTAGCTTCGCTAGCAGTCGCCCTCTGATGGGGTTGGTGTAGTAGCTTCGCTAGCAGTCGCCCTCTGATGGGGTTCCTGTAGTAGCTTCACTAGCAGACGCCCTCTGATGGGGTTGGTGTAGTAGCTTCGCTAGCAGTCGCCCTCTGATGGGGTTCCTCTAGTAGCTTCGCTAGCAGCAAACATGGTGAGATTTATTTGTGCTGCGAATAGGAGAGCGTCCTGCTTGTATTTTGAACGTCTCTTTTATAACCATATGAATTATTTCAAACGTATCTTAAATGAACCGCATGAACATAACAGATTTCCATTACTTTTCCAAACCTTTTGGGGTTCGACTTTTTCCATTACTTTTCCAGGCCTGGAAATGACCATTTTAAAATGTGACTTTTCCTGGTTTTCCATGACCAAACCCTGGGAAAACAAATATGTTAACTAAGAGTTCCACATAATGGCCAAAATTATCATAGATTATTTTTGATGTGGTTGTCTTTTGGCAACGCGTGACCACTGTGGGGTCAGGTCATAATTGGCTGCTCTCCCTCTACACCAGACCAACTGCAGAAATTGCTCTCCATTAGTCAGACTCAAAAACATGAAAGTTGGTCCTGGTTGAAAAATACAGATGCTGTCCTTTATATAAAAAGACCTCTTGGCTCTCCATATTCACTTACCCGCTTTCCTGTTTCCCAAAGGTGGCTCGGTTTAATTTGAATCTTGTGGGCTGTGGGAAAAACAAAAACAAATGCTATTTCTCAGGACAACGGGGATAATATTTTAAAAGTTACTGTCTGAACATCCATACCGGGTTGGCTCCTGGCAAGGCTTTTCCGTTGATTTTGCGGAGACATCTTTCTGCTGTGGCCTCATCGGTCATCTCAACAAAACAGTAGCCCAGGGCCCCCCTGGGTGATGACAAACTGTTTAACGTCAGCATAGATCAGGTCTAAAACAGACAATCGCTTGTGGATTTAATCCTTACCCGGTCATCTTGTTGCGTATGATCCGCACATTAACCACCTGCTCCCCCATGGTGGAGAAGGACCTGGTGATGAACTTCTCATCCATGTAGGTCTCCAGCTACAGACCACCAGATAAGAGGCGGCTTAAGAAGCATTCAGCGATGGTTCCCATTCATACATTCAGTTGTCAGACACTGTGGGACACCCTGAATACTGTTAACGCTGATTTTAATTCTGTATTCGGCAAGTGTAAAAACTGAACACGGCGGCTCATCGTTGTCCACTATCCAGATATCTATATGAAAAGCAGAGTTCTCAAAGCTAAAAATGGGTTCAAAGTAGGACTGGGCAGTAGCATATTCCAAGTGAACACATTCTTTCATGGACCCCGAAAAGGACCGCTGGCCGGCGAGGTCAGCCGGTTAGCCGCTATGTGGCCACCAGAGGGAATACCAGCGGCTCGACCAGTAAAGCCTTCTCTGATTGGACTTACGAAGGACTTTTCCAAACCACAAACCCTCCAAACAGACGCAGCTCCTCCGTTGGGCACACGTTGTGATGGTGCTGTACCCAGCATGCAGTTCGGCGGGGGCATTTTATAAATATGCAACTAATGGTGTTAAACATTGTTTATGTGTCGCAAACGTTTGTGTCGTGGTGTTTTATCCTGTTAAAGAGCCTTTGTTGTGGGTTAATAACTGTTGTAAAATGTTATAAACACACAACACAAGTAGCTCAGAGTGGGCAGAGACACATTCAGACTTATCCTGGTTCGGCCCCACATAGACACAGAGTCCTGGTTCGGCCCCTCATGAACACAGAGTCCTGGTTCGGCCCCTCATAAACACAGAGTCCTGGTTCGGCCCCTCATGAACACAGAGTCCTGGTTCGGCCCCTCATAGACACAGAGTCCTGGTTCGGCCCCACATAGACACAGAGTCCTGGTTCGGCCCCTCATAAACACAGAGTCCTGGTTCGGCCCCTCGTAGACACAGAGTCCTGGTTCGGCCCCTCATAAACACAGAGTCCTGGTTCGGCCCCTCATAAACACAGAGTCCTGGTTTGGCCCCTCATAAACACAGAGTCCTGGTTCGGCCCCTCATAAACACAGAGTCCTGGTTCGGCCCCTCATAAACACAGAGTCCTGGTTTGGCCCCACATAGACACAGAGTCCTGGTTCGGCCCCTCATAAACACAGAGTCCTGGTTTGGCCCCACATAGACACAGAGTCCTGGTTCGGCCCCTCATAAACACAGAGTCCTGGTTCGGCCCCACATAAACACAGAGTCCTGGTTCGGCCCCACATAAACACAGAGTCCTGGTTCGGCCCCTCATAGACACAGAGTCCTGGTTCGGCCCCTCATGAACCGGATCGCCGTACGGTTTACATTGCAGTGTGCCGGTTAACCTACAGTGAACACCGAACAGGACTAACTACTAATATTACAGCGCCGCTTTCAGCGTTCGGAGTTTTGAATCCGAACCGATTTCCACAACGCATGAGGCGCAAGTCGCGGCGGCGTCAGCCAACACGTTGTTGGCAGGATTCGTCCATTGAACGTTGTTCAGTACTCACGTTCCCCATCCATAGCGTACTCATGCTGCTGCTGCTGAAGACGGCCGACGACAATGGGACTTCTGTGGGAATGTACAGTGTTAATTAGGCGGAACCTCCGAAGCTCAGCATGCTAACTGGCGTAGCAGAAGAGCACACTGACTTTATGTCGACGCTACGTCCCAACGGCGTTCTTCTTCTTCTTCTCTTGTTTTAATGGCGATCTGCGTCCACTATGTTGAATTACCGCCACCTGCTGGTTTGAACAGTGCGCTGGTGAATGTGTTGTTAGTGGTACATGTACTTTAAATAATAATAACTCAACGGTTTGGTTTGCTATAAACTTCAGAGATGTAGTTATTACCCTGCATACTGTTGAGTATTAAAATATAATCATGCACGCTCACGCTAGAATGAAATTACACTTGAACTATAAATGCATAGTAATAATGGATGAAGGCCGCTTAAAGGCCGGATTGCACGAACAGCATGTATTTCAAGTCACAACACCAGCACACGAACATGTAAAAAAAAAGCTCCACGCACTATCTGGGTCAGATGTAGAAAAACAGGAAACACCCGTTTCCCATATTAAGAATAACATGTCCATGCTTGGAACTGCACTTAGCACTCGTAACACATCTTGCAAACATCCTGCTATGTAGGCGTAGTGAACCCATGCACAGCGGGAAGCGCGGTGATCCGAGAGCCTAGAGGGATGGACGTCCCTGTGCTCCAATGGGGCTCTCTGAGGGTTCCTAGCAGGAGCCGCCTCCATCTTAATAACCAATCACAAATGCTCCTAAAGACTATATAAATCGAGCGCACTTTGTATTTGTTCTTCATGTTGTTAAAATGCCTGAAATAGGTCCGTGCACGTTAAACTGCAGGACACGTTAAACTTGCCATATTGCTTTGAGTAAAGTCTAGTCCTTGTTTTGCTCGCACGACAATACTTATGAATAATGTTCTGTTTAATATCATTTTCGTATGAAAACCCATAGTTATAATCAGGCGGTGCTCAGGCACCTGCCCTTTTGCTCTGGACAAATGTGTTTTGATATCTGACCGGCATTTATTTGAGTCCTCGTGAGAATTTGGCCCTGACATGCTCCGCGGCGCTCACAAGCCCCTCCCCCCTCCCCGTGGTCATTTACGTCACATGACAGGTCGTTCTAGAGGCCGATCCAGCTGTTTACTGATGTTTGTCGTGTTTAATGAGAGAAACAGAGATACAGGCAGACCGAGAATGTCAAGGCAGTTTTACGGTTCTGATGATGTACAACATTGATTTATTCCATTTACAAAATGTGCATTATGCTGCACAGAGACCCCAAAGGCAGAAGGACAGGGAATATATCCCAGTTTTTTTAATTAGTTGTATTATTCATATATAAGCCGGTTTCTGTTGATGCCACCTGTAACTGAACCGAGGTATAAGAAGTGCTCTGCCCTGTATGTAAAAAGATGTATGCTGAGCACGTAGCAGTGACCGTTTTCCCTTTGCAAGGAAATAAAGCTTAGTTTATGCTTCTGCGTTTTCAGAGTCCCTTGCGTGTCTTTTCACTCCTTGCGTGTCGAGACATTTTTCTAGACGCGTCTAAAGCGACGCAGCCTCCTGCAGCACCAGGCTGTGATTGGTCCGCTGACTGCGTCCTTTACGGAGTCTCACGTCTCCGTTTTCACAGCACAATACGGCCGTTATTAAAAGGAAGATGTTTACGAGAGAACGGATCAGATTGAAGAGCTTTTGTGGGAAGAAATGCGTAAATATGAGCACTCCAACCCGCTTCTACAATCCGCACATGACGGCTTGTAGAAGCGGGTTGGATTCACGGAGGGAGATCGCCGCAAACGCCGGTCGAGAGGAACAAAGTTGTGGAGGAAAATAAGGGACAAATGTGTCCTTGATGAAAAGCAGCAGTGTCGATGCACGTGGCAATAAAGTCTATGATAAATAAATAAACAAGTAAATAAATAAATAGACGTGACTCTCTAGGTCGTCTTCAACAAAACACGTGACTCCGCCTGTTGTTCTGGAGGTGAATCGCTCTGCAACACACGCAAGACTTTACAACCAGGAAGTGAAACGAGTGCGTCGACGCATGCGCAGAAGCATGCGCCAGCCTTAAACAGAGAAAGACTTTGATTTAGAAACTTTATTTTTAGAATTGAAGCAGTGAAAAGAAACCGTGTGATTCGCTCTTATCATGAGCACCTTAATCATCGTAGGAGCCAAACGTTCACATCAAATGTCCGTTTTATTCTGTGCACTGGGTGGCGCTGTTCTCGGGTCCTGTGCGCACCTACATAATTGATTGGGTAACAATTGACATCAGGTGTCGGATCCGGAGAGCGAAAGGGTTTTGACCCGAGAGAGTTGGTTCCATTGGGAACAAACATTATATGTGAGGAATAAAAGTGAGATCAACGACACTCGAACGTGTCGGTGGATTCTGTCTGCAGGCCGAGACGGACGCGGGGCGATTAAGGCTGGAAGAACATACAGAGCGATCCGGCACCACACCGGGCTCCTTCAACAACCACGGTCATAGAATTAGGAGTGCTTTTAATCTCCATGTAGCTTCAACCCAGCCATCAAGAATACATTTCAATTAAAAGGTGAAACATTGAATAACTCTGTTACCTAATTCCAACCTGCATTTACTGACATGGCCGCGTTACAAAAAGCTTTCCCATCTTCTCCACATAAAGTCTGATGGAGGTGATTCATTTAGCATCAAAAACTCTTCCTGATTTATTCTCCACTGCCATAATCATTGTGGCGTAGAGCGGGCGCGCCGGGAACCATGAGGTTGGCGGTTTGGAACCCGGCCATGTCGAAGTGTCCCTGAGCAAACCATGGGTTAAAATGTGATGAAAGGGTCAGCTAAATGACCTGTAATGAAGAACAGTCCATTAAAATGTTCTCACTGACAGTGGCATAGGGTCATGTCATTGTTTGGAGTCATAGCGTATGTGTTGTACTCCATAAGCACCGACCTGTTGTTGTTTGGGTGGGCTGCGGCGTGATGTGGTTCCTGTCTTTGAGCATCGATGGCGCTCGCACAGGACGTCATCGTGATGCCATAACAGGTCTTTGTGATGTCTGAGAAGTCTCTCCTATTAAACGTCTAACTCAGCGATTCCCAAAGTGGGGGAGTGATGAACTAATCCAGACCTGATCTGTCTCATCTTATCCTGAAAACGATCCAGCCAACTCAGTCAGCCGTGGCCGAGGAACGAGGCCCGGTGGTTCCCAGCCTTTTACTTTATTTCCTTAAATGAAGAATCAACACATGGCAAAAGAAAGCAAATCACTGCTGTTGTAGTGAAGTGTGCAGTACACCTCAGTGGAGCAACTTGTTACTGGTCCCCCTGTTGTGTTTACAAGCTAAACTTATACACAAAAAACACATTAGAGATTTAATGATTACATACAAGAAAAAACCCAAAGTACTGTGAAACCTGCAGAACATGGTGGTGGTAACATGGCCGAGCATCCTGGATCTCTGCATGTACATGGACACATGGACACATGATGCCGCTGAGCTCCACTTACTTTAAAGTAAGTAAAAACTTACTTTATTTCCTCAAGTTCATATTTTCTTCTGTACTTCTGGCTACTTTTTGGGAGTAAGTGGACCTACACAGCTACACAAAGTTGCATAGTTCTGCTCAGAATGAATCAACATTTTACTAAAGTTAACATACAATCAATAACTCCCCTAACGACCATGATGTGATGTTCACAGAGCAGGAATGATGAGAAGCACATTGGGGACGACTAACCGCACACATCCTGCCTGTGAAACAAACAGAATAAGGCGGCCGGGGGACCAAAGACCACCATGGGGGGCTCAATCTGAATAAGCAATAAGCATCTGACTTGTGTTCTCTGCAGAGGGGCAGGAAAGGAAGGCTGCTCCTCTGGACCAAAGGAACACGAAGACGAAACTGAACCACAGAGGAGACAATTTAAATCACTAACGATCAGCTCAACAAAGAGTATTTGGAATTCACCACCACATAATTATTATTAAGATACAGTATCCCACTAGTAGTTAGAGATATCAGAAAGAACAACATTGTTCGTGGGCCCTTTTCCTGATGAAACGCCATAAAGCGTCAACAGAAGGAGACGGAGCAGGTGATCACTACAGCTCATATCACAATTCAAGCCACAATGAAGAATTGAGACGCCGACAGCTCGTCGGCCTGCTGGGGACCCAAACAGCAAACTAATGACAAATGATTCCTTTCTTATTACCATTAATTAGGTTCTACCTCACCAAGCAGCGGACTGCGCCCGTTTGGATCTCCGGCCTAATTGAAGGTGCAGGCTGAGGTTAGTTAGCAGGTAGCAACGCTCACCGTGGACAACGGAAGCAGGCAGCACATTGCATGGTTCTGCAGAGGGCCACATTATCATGGACACCAGTCACGTTAGCTTCATACGAAGACATATTGTCCACACAGTCGAGCCAAATATTCAGATTCCATTGAGTTTGTAAGGTTTGTTACATTCAGAAGTCCACATATTGCACAGCGTGCTCCATCCATCAGCCAGATACATAGTATGTGTAATAAATGACCTGTTTAGAGAGAAGAAGAACCCTCCACCAAACAAAAGGTCTTCACCCAATTAACCTCACACACTTTCAGCTTGGTTCTGCCTACAAGGGAAAAAGGGCGGGACGTCTAACAACCTCCGCCGTTTCTATTGGTCGGTAGAGTTTGATGACATGACATTTTCAGCACAGCTCCACCAAACGTCCCCCAGAAGGAGGTGGGACCCCTGTGTGGGAGTAAGCCTGCTGTCACATTATTACATGTATTATTTGCAGAACGGTGAAGGAATAGAAAAATGAGAAGAAGTGTTTTTAAAGAAAAGTAAAGTGCGAACCACAAACCCCTCCTCAGGTACAGTACGTGAACAGAGCCAACAAACCCAACAAGTGGAGAGGCTACATGTGTTGGAGACAGCAGATCCGTCCAGAGTCCAGACCTGAGCAATCTGAGTCCACGTACACACACACACACACACACACACACACACGCTCAGTCCATCTTCTCCTTGTGAACCAGTTTGGGGGCGTCGACAAAGTCTTGGCCGTTGAAAAGGATGATGGTGGCTGTGATGGCGCTAGCAGCCCCCCAGAACAGCACATAGGCCAGGGTCTCCGTCCACGTGTCCCCTACAAGACAAGTTGCAGTCTTTTATTCTGGTTGTAAAGGCGCCCAGCGCGAGGAAGAGACGTTTCAGCCGTAATACAGCTGAGCAGAGCCGGCGCTGGGAACTCACTGCTGCCGCCCGGCGCCCATAGTGGGGCAAACATAACGCAGATAACACATCCATCTGTGGTAAAGCTTCATCTTATAGACCTGTGAATCCCAGTAGCTCATCCCCTCCCACACCGCCGACCCTTTAAGCTGTAAACTGACGGATGAATGACCATCCAAAACATTCAGTCAGTCTTTCTTAAGATGTCTTCATGTGAATATAAAGAGCAGATCCCAGGAAACCAAGGGGTGATACAAAGGTGCGAATGGAAGGAGTGCTCGTGGTCCAACAGTAATGAACACGCCGTATTGCTTTGCACTGGTTTACGCAACTCCATTGGTTGATGCCTATTTTCACGCTACGACAGCTCAAACACAATTTCTCCCAAAATGACGTTGCTTTTTCATCATGTTTGTGAGAAAGTTAAAGTTATTAGAAGAACAACAATGAAAATTTACATTGACGTGTGAACTATTACACCAAATAAATGTACGGACTTTAGCATTAGCATTAGCTACAGGTTAGCGAGAGTCCATCCTTTGATAACTTATGACAATATAGAATGTAACATGCACGTGATGTTGGCTTTGAACCGATGTGGTACATCCTAGAACACGTGGAGTAAAAGGGGAACGTTTAGAGCCCATTGAACCACCGCGCTAATGCCACCAATGCTACGAACTATTCAATCAAGCCCAGGTTAGAGTGGCCTGCAGCTGTAAACACGTTGTTTGTGGAAGAAGATGCTGAAGCCACATGGAACTTACCGGCCATGAGGAGACAGATGATGCACATGGAAAACGCCACCAGCATAATGATGGGCAGCTGCACAGAGAGCAGAATTAAAACGGTTAGACTGAGCGTCTCGTGTCCCGCTGATGAGACAATTCAGATAAACTGACCGTGAAGAACTTCCAGTCCTTCTGCACACGAAGAGGAGTGGGGGCATCAGACCCATCGACGGCGAAGTTACCCAGAAACAGGTCAATGGAATCCTGCAGCCAACAAACCACAGGGACACCTCCATTCTAACTGGTTCGTCTTCCTTTTGGTGCTCATTTCATATTCGGCTTCCATGGAACGTTAAACATGAGGAGGTAGCATCACACCAGTTTCTAACTATTGCTCCACGGTCTGTTCCCCCACCTGCACACTGGAACATCAGGAACCTTGTTGAAAACGTGTTGCCATAGTGAAGGTGTGCCTTCGCCATTTATTCAACAATGTGCTGATATCTGTGTTAGTCCAGTCTACTGAACATCGCTCATAAACCTCCATGATGTCCCGCCACAGACATCCTACCTGTCTGAATCCATCAGAGAAGTTGTTTTTGTAGTAGCGGATGACGGAGTTCCAGCCGTCCATCAGAAGCCCCCACCTGGTCCTCTTCCCCGTCCTGATGGGGATATCGGCTTTGATTAAAGGGGCCCTCCAGGACACACCACCACCACGGCCCGCTCGTATGCTACTGTACCTCGTGAAGTCAGTTTTCAGGGCGCCAGTTCCTGCGTACTGTACGGCGCATGCGTTGGCGTTGTCGGCCCATGCTAGTTGGAGCACACAAACAACAGTGAGGGCTCATTCCCACCAACACGTCACATGCTTACAGCACACGGAGGACATCACCATTCCTGTAGATCTTCTCAAACTCGGCTTGCTCTTCAATCCGCTGACCCACATTGAGAACGCCCATCCTCTGTGGGCACACAGGCACACCATGAACGAACGTGTGCTTTACTCAGGAAGTCTGGTAGTGTGAGCGCAGTGAGGTGAACGATATACGAGGATATACATACCGCCATCAGAGTGTACATGTACTCATACTAGTGCTGTGCAAAGATGACAGGAACTGTAATGGATTAATCACATGGTTTTCTGTGCCCTGCCCCTTGCACGGATTAGTATTTTTTGTTCCCATTCCAGTACATTCTTTGCTCTTTGAAAGAGCATTATATTGTCATTATTTTACCAGTGGCATAAAGCCGTCTGAAAATTGCAATATCATTGTTTATCGCAAATGATGTTGGTGCAATAAACGCACAACAAAAATGTTATATTGTGACAGCTCTATGCAGCGATTGTTCAACAGTAAGGTAGTAGTGAGCACAAAAAACTTGGCTAGTGGCTCTTGGGCTGCATCCATTCTGCGTAAGGCCTTTAAATTGGTTAATTGGAGTTTGGGAAACAGTGATTATTTGGTTTTGGATTTGTCCATGTTGTGCAGGAGCTGAGAACATACATATGTTGGATTGATTGGTCAACGCTTTTACTGTGTGAAATAAACACCAAACAAAAAGATCTCCTGTCATCCGCGTTAAGAAAATGAAATGATTGTGCCTGCAGCTCAATAATGGAGCGGCGCTTCAGTGGTACTTCAGGCGTGTAGTATTTTGGACTAGTGGGGCTTGAAGTGGGCCGGTACTCATCGGTACGCAGTTTCCGACACACACAATGCTTCCTATTTACAGTAGTTACACCGAGCTTGTAAAGCTCCCCACCTGTCTCCACCTGTCTCCATTCTCTCGTTAACGTGTGCAGCAGTGTTAAGCTCCTCCCAACGCTCAAACAAGAAGATGCTGCTAATGGCTTAATGGACGTCGTGTCTCTGTAAACCATATTGGGAATATGGATCGTACTACTTAGTCTAGTTTTACTGACATACGAGTAGTACGAGACGGCCGTGTTCCTTATACAGCCTTTCATAGAGGAGTAGCGTGAAGCCACCTGCAGCTGGGACTGAAGGGAGCGCCGGGCCAGCAGGCTCTGGATGACGTTGGTCCTGTCCAGGCAGTCCATGCAGTTACTGCGGAACAGTCCACTCTGTTGGGCCAACGGTTTCCCCTCTGGGCTCACCATGAAGTAACTGCACACAGAAACATCGGAAACGTCCCACACGGTAACCAACAGCAGCTATCAGCCCAAAGCGGACGCCGGTGAAGCTACCTGTATTGCTCTTGTGTCTCAGCGACGTTATCCACTAGGATCTGCAGGCGGTCCCACCTCATGTGGCTGCACTCTTTGTGGAAGTCAAAGGCAACGTAGCTGAGGAAAGGACAGTGAAAGTCAAAAGCCTTCGGGAGTAGATATCGTTTTAGTGTGAACTCAAGGTCTCTATGCAGGAGTAACACCAGATGAACCGGCTTCCTCCAGCAGCAGGTCCACCGAGCAGCAGCACAAGAACCGAAGACCACAAAAGAAGGTTCAAGGAGACAATGCAGAGCATCAAAACATCCTCCCCCATTAAGTCCTATGTTCAAACCGCCCAGACCACATCCCTCTGGTCACTCCGCATGGCCAGCAAACAGCACCATTACATTACAATCCATGAAGCTCACTGAGTGAGTGTGAACCAGGAGGCCAGGCTATTAAAGACATGCTGCCGGTGTACACAGACAACCGGCTGTCTCGGAGTAGCCTGAATGAAGTCGTAAGGGACAATGTCCTCTGCGAGCGAGTCAGGGAGGCACTTACTTGAGCATAGCGTGGTCCATGTCAGACACCATCTTGGCAAAGGCCTGCTCTAGTGGCTTCTCTGAGCCCTTCTGGTTCACCTGGAACAAAACCCCATCACACCAACTGGCCTCTGACATTCATTTACAGGGAAAGAATGATTAAGGGTCCTCACCAGATTCAGAATGGTTTGCTTGCCGTAGACCAGAAGCTGAGAGTCAAAGTGCCTCTGGAAACCATCCATCTACACAACGTTTTCAAAAGGTTAGCATGGTCTCCTCCCACTGACGAGCCGCAGAAAGCAACAACGCTTACGTGATTAGTGGTTTTGGTAATGACAGGTTTGGGTTTGTACTTCAGGTTGGGCCTCTGACTCCAGTAAAAGGGGATGGAGCCTCGTGTCTGGGGCGAGAGAGAAGGGAAATCAGCACGTCTCAATGTGAATACAGAGAGAGGGGTAGAAACAAGCCAGGCGGCGAGTACCTGTATGAATGACGCCCTGGCTCCCTCATACAGAACGATCTGCTCCGTCTCCACAAAGTTGGCAGCATGGCCTTCAGAGTCGATGCCTGGAGGCAGCAGCACACGTCAGCAGTGAGGCGGACAACCTTCATATTGCACAAAGAGGGAGGTCTACCTCTCACGTAGTATCTGACGCCGGCCCGGAAGCAGCTCCTCCTGGATATGAGGATCCACTCAAAGATCTTTCCGTTTATACGACATGGCTTCATGACGATGACTGCAGGCGGGTCAAGGAAACGCGTTCTATCTACCGGGAGCCGCAGATCACACGAGACGCCATCACAGAGCATCACATATGAGATTCAGCAGAAAGGATACAGCCGTGGACAACTGGAAGAGCAAACCTATGGAGCTGTGGGGAAGCAGTAGCATCATTGTGATGACACGAGGAGAAAGAACAAACAGGCCAAGTCACTGGTGTTACCTCTGGCTGTGCAGACAGCTCTCTCAGAAGGTTCCCGTTCCACACAAACCTCTGATCCGCCTGAGAATTACAAGAATCCCATCAGTCATCAGGCGCATGATACGCACCAGCTTCTGATCTACCTCCTAAGGGCCATTTAACCGAGCAGCAGAGGGATGCTCCGTCAGCCAGACCCTATCAAGGGGGTCTGGGACGAGTTGACTGGTACCGGATAGTTTAGTAACTCATGACAGCTGAATCCACATTTAGTCCTCTGCGTGTAGGATGGGCTCACAAGAAGAGTATCACACATTCCCTGATTAACCCTTAACGTCCCTCTGCAGAGCCAAATGTCTCACCCTCTCCAGCAGGCTCATCTCGTGGAAGTCAGGGCTGGTGTTGGCCAGCCGCTGCAGAGTGTGTGTCAGGTCGTAGTCAGTGCAGAAGTAGAAGCCGTCCGTCATCAGTACGTTGTTTATCATGGACAGGAAGGTCTTATTCTCCTGAGTCTGCAGGCGGGAAACAAACACGCCGTTAGGAGAAGCAGGACGATACACTTGAGAGAAGTGCTCACTTGTTTTTATGCTGCTGCTGTGCGTCCGGATGCATCTCTCATCTGCCTGTACAGAGTTCATCTCTGCAGGTTAACAGGCCACTAACTTAATCACCATCAGAGGATATCCACTAACTAGAGCAGTTCTACCAGGCATCAGACTTGCAGTAGAAAGTACAAACTAGGCTGTAACAGTCCACACAGGTCTGACCTGGAGGCTGCAGATTAATAATGCACTGAAATACGAGTCCAGACTGTAAAGAATGGCTGAAACATGAGGTCTGACTCAGTACTCAACAATCAAACAGAGCCAATTCAGCAACGATGAGGAAATACTATGAAGACGCAACTTCACAACCTGATTTGGACAACAAGTGGTCACTAATGTGATCATCTAAAAACAATGAAAGAAGTTAGTCCTGGATAGCATGAACGACACCAGAGCAGATAGATGGAAGCGTTTAGTCTTATTGACCAGATTTTATTGTTGTTGGTATTTCTGTCGACCACTAAAAGTAATCTGCACTATCGTGCTGCTCTGTTCACACCACGTGACACTGGAGCTCCTCCTTCTCCCGTGGAAGAGTCGTGTTTTTGTACTTGGCTTCTACAGGAGTGTGGGCGCACGCCTGACTATTGACTGAATAAAACAGACTACATAGGCGACAACAGCTTCATGCACTGGTTTGATTATTTGCCGTTCCATGTTTACAGCTCAGCTCACTCAGAGCGTTGAATGTCGGTACTGTAGAACCTTCAGGTTCAGTCACTGAATGAAGCCTGACGTGTGTGGGAACTTTGGCATCATAATGAGCCGTCGTGCAGGAACCTGAATGAAGCGCTGGAGGACTGTAGAGAAGAACGCACAGAGCGGCAGCTTGTCCAAATACCGGATCCTATAATCAATTAGGGGGTGCATTCCTCGGGACCAGTCCAAGAGTCAGTGATCAGAAAACTGGGACTAACTACACGGCACTGGTATAAGGACACGTGGGGAAAAGTTAGACGTTGTGCAAATTGCCATGACAGGGAGTTAAAGTTACTTCCTAAATGGATACACCTAGAAAGGACTCATGAGTAAACATGAAAATCCCGTCCAGCGAGCGTCAGAGAGAGAAGGAAGCACAATAGACCCACGGTACAGACATCTGCCACAGTTTGGAACAGGATTCTATCCTTTAGAACATAACGATTCAGAAGTGTGCAGCATCATAGCGACATCTCCGAGGCTTATGGCAAACCAACCTGTTCCAAAAGTACGTGCACCACTGCCAACACACACACACACACACACACACACCAGGCTAACCAGCAGCCAGCTTGATACCTGCTGGCTCGGACACCAACTACAGGCGTTGAGTCTCAGCTGTGCAGAGGATCTGTTCATTTGCTTTCTGGGTCGCGTCTTTAGTATTCGCTTCATCCGGAATCATTGGAGTCTGTGCATTGTCTTTGCATGGAATCGACTCCCCCAAATAATTTGCTTGGCTTTTGGATGTACCATAAGAGCCCTTTGTCACCATTGAAATATATATTGTGCTTCTTTTCTGACATAGTGAAGACATGAAAAGGTTGCTTTTGAAATCCACAGGACTTGAGATCAGGAAAAGGGTGGATCTGTAGCTCCGGGTGCACTGAGACAGAAGCACATGAGAGAATTCTGGCTGACCTGGACCTCTGAGAGATGCAGCAGCGTCTTCTTATAAGAGATCACGTCAAAATCCACAGCCTTCCACACAGCGTGCCCCAGGAAGCTCCCCACGTTCCTCTTCCTGGTGATGACTATCAGGTACATCCCTGGGTGGGGGAGGGGGGCAGTCAGCGGTTTACCAGCATGATGTCCAAGGCGTCCACATCGGCGCGCTACCTACCTGCTACCAGGCGCACGGTTCCCATGATGCCACATATGGGCCTGGTGACCGTTGAGGGGGGGAGGCCTTTCCTACCTGGGAAGGGGAGCAAAATACAACGTCTACTCATCTTCCTCACAAACTGGATACGATGCTGATATTTCTTTCTGGATAGTGATGAATATTCATAATCAGGATGACCAGAGATGTCAAGTAACGAAGTACAAATACTTCGTTACTGTACTTAAGTAGAAATTTTGGGTATCTATACTTTACTGGAGTATTTATTTTTCAGACGACGTTTTACTTCTACTCCTTACATTTTCACGTAAATATCTGTACTTTCTACTCCTTACGTTTTAAAAACAGCCTCGTTACTTTCGGCTTGTCACAAACACAAAAACCCGTCCAGATAAATGGCGCTATGCGGACAGTGAATGTGATTGTGGTTGGATGAGAAGTATAAACATTTAGCATCCTGACACCCGGTTGGTTTTCTCCGCGATGCGCAGATCGGAGCGACACCGGGTGGGAAAAGTGGTCGGTGGAAAGTTGGTATTTAGCGACATGGAGGCTCCTCCTCTTCCTCCTCCTCTTCCTCACGCAGATTCCATGTAACGTTAAATGAGTATCTTCTTGACGGTGGGTTTGTCCTAAATGTATTATTGAGAGTCTGGCACAACACAGCGACTTGCACGCAGTGCAGCGTATTAAATAAAGTGATGTGTGTTTTAATGCGGCTTTGGAAATGAACACAAAGGGATTCTGTATTGGCTCTTGAAGCCTGAACATTCTGGTTATTTGTTTTGATAACCGACCGCTGCCAGTTCACTGTTTCCCATCATTAGAAACAGGCGTGCCCCCCCATGACGTAGTGAACCTGGGGGAGACACTGCAGTCTACCTGATCAATGCGGACAATGTGTGTGTGACTCGTGTCACTGGAAAATGGGTTGTGGTTTTATCTGTTTAAGTCAGATACATTTGTTGTTGTTGTTGTTGTTTCCACCATCCCATCGGCAGGTCACGTGATCTGCAGGCACCTTCTGATCACATTGTGACGGACTGACGTGTTGTGTGAGCGAGGTTACGCATTAAGAGTTTGTCCTTAATGGAATTTCTTACATTACGTTTACTTTTATACTTTAAGTAGTTTTGAAACCAGTACTTTTATACTTTTACTTAAGTAAAAAGCTTGAGTAGATACTTCTACAGGAGTTTTTTTAAACCCTAGTATCTGTACCTCTACTTCAGTAATGAATGTGAATACTTTTGACACCTCTGAGAATTACAAACTAGTCATTAATCATTGAAGTGTATCCTTGGTGGTTTCAATGGAGAAAAACTGTTTTTCAAATAAAGCCCTGATGCTGGATATCAAGGTTTTCGGTCTGGTTCATTAGCTAGCACATTGACTGTGATGCTGAACGCATCCCAGCAGCAACAGGAGAACCAGGGGAATGGACCGGACTGGTGCCGTGGGCCCGACGCGGGGAAAAGGCTGCGTCCTTACAGCCAGCGTGAAGTAATAGAACATTAGGTCGTACCCGTTAACACCGTCCGTCATCAGGCATCATGCTGCATTTAATTCCCATCCCAGCCTAAATGTATGTCATACGACTAAACAGAGTTGAAATACATGTACGTGTTAACCGTGGCTCCACAGCGGAGCACGTAGCACCGGACGCTACATGCTGTGACGTATTCTACAGCAGGCAGCCAATGCATGTGGAGACGCAGGAATCCAGCTTGAACGTCACACTTCTACCTGTGAGGGTCATCTCGTTTGAGAGCCTGTCGATGGTCAGCACGGCATCCGCCCCGTCATCGCAGGCCTCGATGAAGAACTTCTCAGGGCTGGTGTGCCTGAGAGAGAAGAGTGTTCATCCGGGATAAAGGGACAGCAGACGGGCATTGTGGACATGCACACATGGAATAAAAGGCTTTCCCTTGGGCCGATATAAACACAGAATGATCATTACTGTGAGGGAGCTGATACCAAACACGTTGTAATGTAAGCCCTTGTTTCCTGACTGGACTTTTAGGCTTGAGTTCCAACACTTAATACTGCCTTGCGTTACAATATGTACCAATATAGCGTGGGTTAAATGCTGCAGTGTGTTGCTGACCACGTCCACCCCGTTATGACCAGTGTACATCTTCCGAATGCAACACGTCACTATATTAGTCCTCAACTGCAGCTTTAAAATGGGGATTATCGCGACAGCCGAGTTTCAAGTCTCGGCAGGAGAAGAATGTAACGTGTAATGTTGTAGTGACACAACGCACAAACACCCCATTGTTGGCCTTCCACACCCCACATGCCTGTGTGACACAGGCCTCGCCCCACTGCACAGCAAGCCGCTTCTGCCAGCAGGTCCAGCAGGTCCTCGGTGCCTTGTCAGTGCCAAGCTGACAAGCTAAAGTTCCCCCACATGTCAGCGTCAGGTCGGTCAGCTGACCGAGGTTAGTCACGTGACGTTACCCCCGAGTGGAGACGTCCAAATAGGCTCATCTTAGCGAAACGACAAACCCACCACGTACAACAAGCATGTGCTGGGACCGAGGCCCTTCGCGGAGCCGAACCGGACCGCTTCCTGCTTTAAGCCCGAGCTGAGCCGCGGTGTCATCGGACCGAGCGACGGCACCGCGCGCATGCGCTCTGCCTCTCGTCTGTCTCCCATCGGACTTGGAAAAGAAACATTTAAAGAACATTTGCTGTATTGTATGTACTTACAAATTATATCTCTCGTAGGCTGTCGCCATCTTCGCTCTGTCCACCTGAGCCCGGTGTGACGACAGCAGCGGTGGGCGTGGCTTTCTGTGTGTGTTGCCAGGTACAGGCTGTAAAACCCACAGAGGACGCAGTGCTCAAACAACCTGGCATCCACCAGGCCTCTCCTCTTCTTCTTCTTCTTCTTCTTCTTCTTCTTCTGTGGTGTTTAATGGCAGCTTGCATCCTATTGGTTGCATTAGCGCCATCTTCCGGTTCCCAACTATCCCCCTTCAGCCCTGTACCAGCCCCCTGTCTTCCCTTGTCTTTCCTTCCTTGTCCATTTCTCCCACTGTGTCTGTCCTTTCCCTGCTGCGTCTAGTAAAGGTGGTGATAGCATGAGCACTGCTCTTGAGTACATTATTTTAAGCAGCAGATCTTGTTGAGTATTGGACATCAGACTAGCAAGGGCAGACATGGAATCACTGCAAACAAGTACTTTGCCTGGTTTGTGTCGTTGAACCCACTCTGAAGCCATAACAATTACATACAATTCAACTGGATACACAGCCAGACAATTTGAAGTGCGTTTGTATATTTCTAAATTGTGACTAGGGACTGCTGCAGCTGGATCTTTAGACATCTGTAAACACCTGCATACGTTGTATCCAACTGTGCACCCAGTGAACCACAGAACATAAATCACTGAAAACATCACCGAAGAACACTGAAATATATGTGCAATAAACACTGTAATACACTGTGTGGACGTTTACATATATTTATTTGGTTAATATTTCGTTATTGTGTTTTTTTTGCACTCCTTTTTTTCTTTTTCTTTTTGTCTATTATTATTATATATTTACCTACCTACTTATTACTGCTGCCGGTATCCTGTGAATTTCCTCATTGTTGGACTTATAAAGGAATGTCTTATCTTATCTTATCTGTATATTCGTAGAACTCAATTACACGATCAGAGTTCTTTTCTCTTACCTTATTTAGTTAATTAGTTAGTTATTTGCCAAATTACCGTAGGGATAAGCACTATAGCGCCTTCTGAGTGAGAAGGGGACGTATCCTCCTGATGTTGTAGAGCGTGTATCTACAGGATCGCATTGTCAGTGATGTTGGGAGTCAGGGAGAGTTGGCTGTCGATGTCACGCTGAGGTTCCTGATGACCTGCTTGCGTTTCAATCTCTTCTCTCCTCTTTTTCTGCTTCTACTGTATCTCTGCTGCCAAATACTCTTTCTACCAATCTAGAACTGAGTCCTCATTTTCTAACCTCCCAAAACTATTTTCTATCTTCTCCAACCTCCTCGAACCCCCTAGTCCTCCTCCCCCCTCCCCCCTTCTTCTGGGAGATTTTGTCAACTACTTTACCAAGAAAATATCTGACATACGCTCCTCTTTCTCAAACCCACCTCCTACTACTTGCGTCCCACTGACTTCACCTCTATCACCCTCACTTTCCTCTTTCACCCCCCTGTCTCCTAACCAAATTCTTACCCTAGTAACCTCTGCCCGTCCGACCACCTTGACCCCATTCCATCACATATTCCACAATCTATCGCTCCTGACCTTCTTGTCTCATCAACAATGCTCTGTTATCTGGCTGGTTTCTCTGAAGGAGGCAAGAGTCAACCCTCTCCTGAAGAAACCTACCCTCAACCCTTCTGAAGAAAACAACTACAGACCGGTCTCTCTTCTTCCCTTGCGACCTTTAACCAACTCTCCTCCTATCTCCACTGTAACAACCTCCTTGACCCCCACCAGTCAGGCTTCAAGGCCGTTCCAAAGAGACTGCTCTCCTCGCTGTCTCAGAACAACTCCACACTGCTAGAGCTCCTCTCTCTCCTCTGTCCTCGTCCTTCTGGACCTCTCTGCTGCATTTGACACAGTCAACCACCAGATCCTTATTTCCTCCATTCAGGAACTCGGTGTCTCAGGCTCTGCTCTCTCCCTTCTCTCGTCCTACCTCGACGGCCGCACCTACCGGGTAACCTGGCGAGGATCTGTAATCTTACTACTGGAGTTCCTCAGGGTTCCGTCCTGGGTCCCCTCCTCTTCTCGTTCTACACCAACTCTCTCGCCGCTGTCATTTGCTCACATGGCTTCTGCTACCACAGCTATGCCGATGACACCCAACTCTCTCCGTCCCTCACTCGACACCCAGGTGGCGGTACGGATCTCTGCCTGTCTGACTGACATCTCTCAGTGGATCCGCCCACCATCTGAAAATCAACCCCGACAAGACTGAACTACATCTCTTTCTGGGAAAAGACTCTCCGACCCAGGACCTGACTGTTAATTTTGGCAACTCCGTGTAAATGCCCACTTTTACTGTCAGGAACCTCGGCGTGACACTCGACAGTCAACTCTCCCTGACTCCCAACATTACTGCGACAACGCGATCCTGTAGATACACGCTCTACAACATCAGGAGGATACGTCCTCTTCTCACTCAGAAGGCGGCGCAGGTACTGATTCGGACTACTGTAACTCTCTCCTGCAGGTATCCTGCTACCACCATTCCACCTCTGCAGCTCATCCAGAATGCAGCAGCTCCACTGGTCTTTAACCTAAGTTCTCCCTCACTCCTCCGCTCTCTTCACTGGTACCGGTGGCTCATCCAGTTCTAAACACTGGTGCTCACGTACCATGCTGTGAATGGATGGGGTCCAGCTTACATCCAGGACCTGGTCCAACCCGACATCCCGACCCGCACTCTCCGCTCTGCATGTGATAAACTGCTTGTTCCTCCTCACTGAGAGCAAAACACTCGACTAGATCACCACTCTTTGCTGTCCTGCTCCTAAATGGTGGAAGGAGGTCTCTGAAGACACCAGGACCACAGAGAGCCTTCACATCTTCAGACTAAAGACACACCTCTTCACACTCTACCTCCACTAAAACACCAAGAAATTATGGCAGTTAAATTGTACTTCTAATGGTTCTTATCTATAACAAGTTGTAATTTACAACTTGTCTTGGCTTATTTGATGAAATTGGACTTCTTGTTTCTTGTTCTTCTGAGTTTGTGTCCTTATGGTTAAATGCACTTACTGAACTGATACGTTGAATTGATATGTGTGGTTGAATGGATGCCGACTACAATCACTTTTCTTTATATTCAGTTGAGCAGTGCGTGTTTTCATTGATGCTGACTGACAAACATAATTGACCGCTGTGCAATAATCAAGCAATAAAGCCCGAGACTCAACTTTGTTGCCAATAATGTTACAGTTAATCTGTTGGGAAAGCTAACATTGCCCCAAACAGACGCTGTCTTTTTTTTACCTTTATTTTTAAACTAACACATAGCCTCATATTCTAACCCATGACATTATATTACATGTTATTCCTCTTGCACTATGTCGTATTATCTGTCTTGTTGTCCATTGTCTAACTGTCTGCTGCTATGCACCAATTGCCAAGTCAAATTCCTTGTATGTTTGACATATTTTGGTAATAAATGTTTCCTGATTCTTGACTGCTGATTCCTGAATAACTACATGTGTGTGTGTGTGTGTGTGTGTGTGTGTGTGTGTGTGTGTGTGTGTGTGTGTGTGTGTGTGTGTGTGTGTGCACGTGTGCCCGAGCGAACGAGATAGAGAGTAGTAGTTGTGATATGTCATCCTGATTGAAAATGTCTTGATTTCCACTGTGAGTGTGTGTGTGTGTGTGTGTGTGTGTGTGTGTGTGTGTGTGTGTGTCTGTGTGTGTGACTGATAGCTGCAGTTCCTTTTTAACACGTTCTTTCCAGTTTTATGGCATTGTCCTCACATTGATAAGAAGTTCAATTAGATGGACATGTTAAGGCTTCAAACGAGACTTTGCTTTACTTTTTATGTATCCTGTCTACCGTAAAAATACATAAAATAAATAAAATAGTGTATTATACGTTGTTCTTGTACTTTCTCTTTTCTTCTCTGTTCAAATGTATCTATTCATTCCTATTCATTCCTATTCTATTCTATTCTATTCTATTCTATTCTATTCTATTCTATTCTATTCTATTCTATTCTATTATATTCTATTATATTCAAGACCGTTGTACAATTTACACAACAGGCATTATTGAAGATACCTAAAGCACGTGGGTGCTGTGAAGGACCCGTATATATAAAGCCTGGCTGGCCCTCGCTTCAGCCTCTCTCGGCCCGCTCTCACAGCAGCAGGAGGCGACGCTCGGTCTCGCGGAGCGGGCAGCACGTGGGGAGAACCAACGGAAGCTGCCGAGGCCCCGCACGTGCGCTTACGATCATGACGTAGGCCGTGGTTTCCCCACGATGAGAACGTGGAGCTGCGGGCAGAGCACGTGGTCCGACGGGAGGAAAGCTTGTCTCTGGGCCTGCGGCCGACCAGGCGGTGAAATGTAAGTCCTCCAGTCCGTTATCATTGGATGCAAAATGAGTGAATTACATGTGTTAATGTCGTAACCTAGTTAGTTAAATAACCGGCTACGGTAAATTGCATATATTCTGAATTATCTAACGAACTTTTGTTTTTAAACATCTGTTAAAGTACCATTGACAAAAGCTTTTGAATATATATTTCCAAAGTGAGTCACATTGAACTGAAGGGTGTGCAGCAGCGCCCCCTGCAGGGCTTTACGCAAAGCTCTACATACAGGTTATAATCTTTAATACCAATACCACCATGGTATTTTAACTGAACTTATAAGTATTCTTGGCTCACTAGTAACTTGTATTCCTAAAATAGCCAGTATGAAATATGTAATGTATTGTCCATAAGATTCGTTAATGTTGTTCATTTAATAACTGGCTCTTTAATTGAAATTGACGCCCTGCATTTTCAGGCTCAATGACGAAGATGTATAGAACTGAACCCACCAGGACTACTGGTGCTCCACCTCCAGTGAGGAGAGGTCTGCAGCCATGGTGAGGGCCAGGATGGGATGCCTGTGATACGCTATGAGAACAAGATGCTGCTGTGATGATTCACTAGACTAGAGTCTCTGATAACCATGAAGCTATTTCACAGTGCACTGAGCATGCATATTAAACATTCTACTCCCAAGTTCACATGAGAACGGGTTGTGATGCTGTTGTCTCTGTACTCAACAGGTATCTACAGCAGTGGGACTAGATGAGACTGCTCTCTTGGTAAGTTTGGCTTCTAGAGCTTTTGTTTCATGTGGAATGGTTTAAGAAGTGTTTTGAAAGTGCTGTTAATTTTCCTGTAATTGGGCTTTACTATACTGAGTTTTCGCAACCAAGTTATAAAACTATGCGATCTGAAGGGACTAGCTTCTTCAGAATAACTTTACAAAGGCGATGTGTGATTTAAGGGTGTGCTCTCAGAACGTGTCCTGGTTCTGCCATGTGGTGGTAATGCTACACATTTTCCATAGGTGGTGGACCTGCAGAGGGGCATTGCAGGGTGCAGCGGAGCGCACCAACCTCTCAGGTAATGTGTCTGCGCTCTAAGCCGGTTACTGATGAGCACATGGCGCTTAAGCTTCTCCCATAGCGCTTATGTCTGAGTTTGGTCAATGATGAGTCAGTTATTTGGTTCAACTGATCTTAACTGAAGTTTACTCGCAGCGCACTGAGACACTCGGACTGCCTGTCTTCCATATCCTCTTCAACATGAGCGCAAAGCAGTTTTCACTGATCTTTCCACTTTCTCAGGTATGACTGGCAGCCCCAGCTGGATGACCTCCAGACTGCTCAGCCAGGTGAGTGTTGATGGGACGGTGACGTTTAGGACCAGACCTGCTGAGAATTAACCAAACGTGTCATTTGTCTTCACAGGTGCTGTAGGTCTGGAGGGGCTAGAGCGACGGGCCGACACAGAACCTTCAGAGAAACCAAGCATGAACTGTCCCACATTGTCCTTTGTTTGGTTGTGCAAAGTTTCCTAAACTTTTGTAATAAATAAAATATAACTCAAGGATTTTGTTTCCGTGATTGCAGTTTGATTACAATTAATAGACCGGAATCTTCTCCAGTGTTCTCTATTGATGACACCACTTTAATATAAATGGTTGAATATACTGCATGTGGTTGAGGCCTACATGCAACTATTTAATGAAGGATTTCTAACTTGGCACTTGAGGCTGCAGAACATGGTGTCCTCAGAAGACCCCTCGCTGCTATGACTGGTACCATGTAAACCCCCTGCAGTCGGTTCCCCACCAGGATGAGGTCATAGTTAGAGACTATTAACCTCAGTGACGGAAGACGTCCTGCTCAATGGATACAAAAAGAGTAAACATTAACTACGTGGTGGCGAGGTGAGTTTTATTTTGAAGGATGACACTGAACCGGTAGTCCGTCTTTAGCCAGACGGCGTTCGCGACACGCGCTGCCGGAAGCTGCGTAACCCGAACCACAAAGCCCAGTGCGTCACAGCGCCTCGGCTCGTCTGAAGCTAGCGGACGCAAACTTACGGTGAGCGTTTATTTATCGTATTCGACACCAGGTCAAACTAGCGGGACGTTACGTCAGTGGCTGCTACGCTCCGACTAACTTCAGCTAACTGACGTGGCGCTTCTCGCGCTGGTTGCAGGTGGAGACCGAACGGACACGTTTCTCAAGCGGAGCCGCCGATTGTCGTCGAGACTCCGCAGCGGGTTCGTCCGGTTGAACCCACGACACGTAGACGAGGAATGCGGTGATTCGTTAAGGGCGTTGGGAGCAATGCGGGGCGCGGACCCTCCATGTCCAACACACCCACAGGTGTGTATGGCCTGATGACGTCATCTCTCCGAGGCCTCAACCTGTGTGAACAAGTGTTACAACTTAGCGCTACGTACACGCGTCTCTAGCAGCCAGTCTAACTTGGAGCAGTCCAACAGAAGGCATGGCGGCTGAAGTGGGCCGCGTGTGGGGGTGGGTGCGCTCGTGGGGCAGCGCTGGCGTGTCAGACAATACCACGCCGGCAATAAACAGAAGCCATAGTCCCGGCTTGAGCGGGCGGGGCGCGGGGGGGTGGACCTCTTGGATCTGGGGGGGGTGGAAACGTCAAAATGAGCAAAGTAGCCCAGCAGAGGAGTACTGGGAGGCGCAGGAGAAGCTCCCTGCTGGGGGGAAACCGGAGACACGCGTGTCCAAGTGGTGGAATACTTCTTACCTTTCATGGCCAAGGAAAACCCAACCAAGTGAATTGAGACGGAGGAAACGTGATGCGTGTGACTGTGATATTGATGGGGACTTTTCGGATTACGGAACACCCCCGCCGTCTCCTACGCCCCCTTCCTCTGAGCTGCCGTCTCCTTTCAGAGTCTTTGCGCACAGCTGGAAGGTGGAGATCCTTCCAGAGCACTACGAGATCAGCTTCAACTTCCTCCGCCACTTGTTTGACCTGTTTGTGGTTGGCTTTCTGTGGACCGTGTCCCCCCCTGCCAAGCTGATCTTGGAGGTGTTGGGGGTCCAGGGAGCGCTGAGGCTGTGGTTCCACGGCATGGCCATGTTTTTTGTCTCCACGGTTGGAATGGCGGGATTACTGTGGTTGATCCAGGAGTACCTGCCTCAGTTTGCTCTGATCTTCGGCATCGTCCAGGCGTTGGTGATCTCGGTCAGTGTTCGTCAGAGTGTCGTCCTCGGCGTAGAGGAAGAAAAGAAAGACTATGAGGAGGAGGGAAAGATGGATGAAGACAGGAAGAATGGGAAGGAAGCCAAGGAAAGCCTTGAGTCTGTTGATGACCAGGTGAAGACGATGTAAGGTAAGCCCCTTGACTCAGCGTACTTTGTAACACCTACTGTTCTGCATTATTGAACCCAGAAAGCCAAGCTCTATGTTCCTGGGCCAGCAGTAGACGGACCACGTGGTCAGCTCCATTATCAGTGGCGTTTATCACTAACTACGGGGCGCGTGAACTTTGCACAAAGGCACGATGTTCTTTTAATATATAATGAACCACACAAATATTTATAAATGAGTTTAAATGGTTTCAATTTGCCCAACAGAGGGAAACACTGATAACACTGAAGCCTAGTTTATGCTTCTGCGTTTTCAGAGCGACGCAGACGCAAGAGCCCCTTGCGTGTCCCCTGCGTGTCCCCTGCGTGTCCCCTGCGTGTCCCCTCCGTGTCCCCTGCGTGTCCCCTGCGTGTCCCCTGCGTGTCCCCTCCGTGTCCCCTGCGTGTCCCTTGCGTGTCCCTTGCGTGTCTTCACGCCTCCTTGCGTGCGTCGACCCATTTTTCTAGACGCGTCTAAAGCGACGCAGCCTCCCGCAGCACCAGGCTGTGATTGGTCCGCTGACTGCGTCCTTTACGGAGTCTCACGTTCCCGCTTTCATAGATCTGCAACACACGCAAGACTTTTAGAACCGTGAAGTGAAACGAGTGCGTGAAGACGCAGAAACATGCGTCAGCCTTAATATGAAACCTGGTAAGAAATCACTCAGGGTACAATTTTCTTTTTGAAAAGATCAATGTGTTCTTTATTTTTTATTATTTATGTAATAGTAGTAGTTTTGTGTCGAGGTAGCTCAAAAATAAGGATTTGTTTGGCACAAGTCTTTAAACTAATTATATTTAATTGATTCCATGATTCCTCTGCTAGGTTTAAGATCTTGGCCGGTGAACAGAACAAACTGGTAGTGATCTTTCCTTAGTCAGAACATAAGACTGATGAGAAGGGTCCACTTCCTCTGCGTATGTGTGTGTGGCAGCGTGAGGAGGACCGGTGTACCTCTACATGTTGTATTCTTCATCTTGCACTAAGCACATATTGATCGAAGGCTGGTATCAACCGCTATGACCCGATCCTTTGAGGAGCAGCTTCTCTGTCAGCTGGTAAACAACATTCACACACTTTGACTGAGTCAACAGATCAGCCGTAGTGTTACATGTCAGTGCCGTGAAACCCAACAGCTTCCTCATGACGACGCTTCTGTCTTTTCCACAGATGCTGAGAAGACGCAGCGAGTCGAGGAGTCCAGCTGTGTCAGACTGTTCATTGCACATCTGGGGGCTGCAGGGTCTCTTAGCAGTTGTGTTGCACGCATACACGTTTTGCTAATGTCACTATATGTTCAACACTATTGATCCTGATTCTGAATGTTTACATGGACTGCACAGTACAACGTTTTGGATCAGAAGCTACCACTACATCAGTGGTCAGTAATAAAAGGAGCCATTATTGTTTGAACCTTTGGTTCTGTTGTAATGTTGGTGCTGTGGGTACTGGTCTGGTGATTCACCATGAGACATCATTCTGTTTTGGTACCAACTGCCTGCGGTTCTGAAGCTTCAATTTGTGTTTTGTCTTCGGCCCTCATCTTAAGACACTCACATTAAGTGTCTCCCAAGCTCATTTCCTTCAATTCAACTGCAGCCTGTGAGACAGAAACATTGAGGCATGTGATCCTTCGGTGTCCTCTTCAGCCTGCTCCAGTGGACCAGCTGCAATTTGTCCATCGACCTTCGTTCAAACCCAACCAGCTCATTTCCACGCCGAGGACTGAAGCACTGCATTTGTAAATGCTTATTATTCTAATACGGCATCGTCAAGTAGTAATGTGAAATATTGCACACACAGACACACACACACACACACACACACACACACAAAATCGTGAAGTCCTCAAAGCGGCTTTTTGTCCCTTGAGGCGGATTTGTTGGTTTTGGGCTTAAGAAAACGTAATTGAATTTTATACTTCAAAATAAAAGTGTATTTTGAGAGTGAACACTAAATGAATAAAAGGCCGTTTGGTTTGATGTTGGTAAATGGTTCCAGCGCTCCGCTGTGATGGTCAAACACTTTGGTTTGGTGATGAAGTGGAGGATCCCGTTGTGCAGCACTCGCAGCCATTGCCTGTGAGGAGGCTTCCGTTTACTGCACAAACCTTTACTTCATGCCTATTTTCTCTACTATCATATAGCTCTTCTCCACTACAGTGCATTTTTACTTCATTACCTTTCTTTAGATTTGAAGGTACAAACGATGTGTTGCTTTGGTTCATCAACCACTCTGTATAACGTGTAACCCATTCATTCTAAAAGCAGAGCCTACCTGTAACATTGTGATTAAAGCATCTTATTGAGATTTAATGGTCCAATTGTGTGCACCTTATGATACGACATAATCAGAATATAAATGTTCAAATCCTCTGTGAGGAAGCAGACGTGAAACCAAGAGTCACGTTGTCTTCTCATTTTAGTTTTCAAATGGAAAGTGAAACGTGCAGCTAAATACTGGCTGATAAGATAGTTGACAGTTCGCAGGCTGTGACAGTGTCTATTTGTTTAAGAAAAGCACATCAAATATCCAATTTATTTAATTTCAAAGGCATATTATGAGAGTATTCTTAGTTGTATAATTTCATATATTCTACAGTTGGCCAGGCGGACAACATGTTTCACAAGAAGCACAGACGGAACCAAGCCGGCGTCCGTTCCTCAGATGACATTTAGGCTCTTGTACAACTGCTTTTAAGTCTATACTGCTTTTATGGTACACATGGGCCAAATGTGTGATGCTATTCTCATCTAATTCATATTTTCCTGTTGATACAAAGCCAAAGTTTATGGGCTGTTAATTACCAATAATAAAAATATATGTATATATCGTTGTCTTCACTGACATTCTTTTTGCAGGGCTCACCAGAGCTTTGCGTACATCATAAAGCCACAACTTGGTGGTGCTATACCACATAGTGAGAAAACAGAACATGTAGAAAAAGATTTTCTATATTTTAATACATGTATTGTGATTTTGGTACATTTTCTGACATCAGTATTTTATTTTAATACATTTTAAGGGGTATTTTGTATTAAAATACATTTTCTGTTGCCGTTAATCGGTTGGATTGGTGAGGAGACCAATCCAATAGTTCAGTGAGGAGTTTTGAGTTTCTGGAAATAGTGAAAGATTCAGTGCAGCTGCCCTTCAGGACACGGTGGCTCAGTGAAAGGGAGACAAACTAATGAGGGGCCGGAGCATCAGTTGGACGCACTGACGGGGGCTTGGTATCTCACCACGGAGTGCACCACCCACAGAAAAGAAGAATGGAGCAAGAACTGGAGCAAACGTTTGAAAGGTTTGACGTCTGAAGAGGATGCTTTTGAAATGGCCAAGAACATTACAGCTATCTTCGAGTTGTAAAAGTGGATCAGCAAGTCGTGAGGTGCGATTCGATATTCCAGAAGAACATAGTTGGATCTAGACAAGAGATAAATTGCCAGTAGAACAGGACTACAATGGTGCGTTGAGATGCCACCTTCAAGTTTAAATGAAACATCGGAGAACAACCACATACGAGACGTGGGATGTTTCCAGTGATCAGTTCCAGCTCGGACCCGTGTCGCAGGATTGATCGAAAGATGAATGCAGCAATGTACAGAGACATCCTCAATGAAAATCTGCCCAGAGCGCTCCGGACCTTCGGGACAACTCTGAATGTGTCCCAGGCGGAGCCCGGACTGCCCCCCGTTGAGCATCTCTGGAGAGACGCCGATGGAACCGGAGCTGTTTTGCAGAGAAGAATGGGAGAAAGTGCCCAGAAACAGGTGTGCCAGGCGTGTATTCATCCCACTCAAGAGACTTATTGAGCAATGGCTGTGAATACGCATGTACATCCTTTATTTTAAATGAATCCATTCTGGAATAAGGCTCTATGACAACAAAACGTGGACAGTGAAGCGCTGTCGAACCATTCTGGACGCACTGTATATTTCCGGTGCAACACACATTTGAAGACAAACGTCACACAGGAGAAGTCCTTATCAAAGCGGCTGTAATGTGAGGAGCGTCTGTCGTCATGGATACGCTCATCCACGGCCTCCATATGTACTCACACAGCTTCAGCTGGATCATTCAGTTCTTCCAACAAGAGAAGGAAGCTTTTCTAATCAGATGATCTCTATAATTCTATGTTAAGAAACAAGTTTGAAGAACTCAATAAACCAGTTAGTTAATGAATAAGGACCCAGGGCGGGCTTCTCCATCACGAATTACACTCACTGACCCATAAGCGTGTCACCAGAGCAGAAAAAGGAGGAGGGAGAATATAACCACACTTTATGGGAAGCAAAGCTCTGACAAATGAGTACGTTTACAAAGAAGTCCAGCAATAAATCCATAACAAGCAGCGTGGTAACAATAAGCTCCGCTTCATGCAGCACCAGAGACGTGTAAACTGCAGGTTGCTGCTGCTCCTCCTCGTACAGCAGTGCACACACCTCTGGAGAGCTGCAGCCATGTGCAGCCATGTGCAGCCTGACTAGAACGTCGTGCGTTGATCAACCTGGATGTTGAGCGGTTCAACAGCGTGGTGTGTTCGTGTGTGGAGAGGAGAACACGATCAATGATGCGTCGTGACATCACATGTTTCAGCTCATTTATGACCGTCACATTACTGCGAGAGTCACTTGGGCAGATTACACAACTAAGAAATAATCAGCAGTTGAAAATGTAATTCCCATCAGCGTAACAACCCAGACAAAAATGAAAGCAGCCGTGAAGTTACTGTGAAGGATCGCAAAACTCAAACGTTTATTGTCAGCAGGGTGAATTAAATGGAAACCAATGGCTGCCCAGGAAGTAGGAACGCATTGTTAATGTTACCATCTGTAGTCAACAGGCTAAAACATGCAGGTCTCCTTTAAGAAATCTAAAACGTGAACTTCATCATTCCATGAAGGCATGTCAGCTGGCCATTACTGAGCATGCTTTATTCAATGCTCCACGTGGCTCCGGGCGCTACAGGGCAGTGCTGCAGCTTCTCACTCTGCTGTACTCGAGTGACGGAACGGGACTAAAACAAAAGAAAGAAAAAAAGAGGAGCGCAGTCCTGGTCATGGTGTGATGCCTCTCAGACACACATTGCTCACTAGTGGGTGTGTGACCCTCCGGCGCTGGGGGGCACTGTGGTCCCTCCAGCCCCCGTCTGTCCATGGCCTCTCCTGCTGTGGCCCAGGATGCAGTGAGCACTGCCACAGCCTTCATCGTCATCCCCGTCGTCCTCCCCATCGCTCTCAGAAGACGACTCTCCAAACTGCCGCGGCTTCTCGTAGATGCAGCAGCCTGGAACACAACGTACGGGGTGAGGATCCATCTACGTGCTCAGATGATGCCTTCACTGACTCGCAGGGAGCTCCTACTTCTCCTACAGCACCACATTGTGTTCAGAAAAGGGCAGCGTGGTGTGGAAATAAAAGGTTAGATTTCATTCCATTTCACTCCCGAATGTACACTGCTCAGACAATAAAAGGGAACACTTAATAGTCTTATTAGTTACAACTAATGCTTTGTAAAGAACAAAGTCTTTGATAAGACTGTTACTTAATAGTCTTATTAGTTACAACTAATGCTTTGTAAAGAACAAAGTATTTGATAAGACTGTTACTTAATAGTCTTATTAAATACTCTTCTTTACATTGAATGTGCTGACAACAAAATCACACAAAAATGATCAATGAAAATGACACAACCCACATTTATTGCACTACAAATGTTTTAGGATCGCTTGATTGATCACGTAAACCTCTAAAGTCGTAGACTGAATTAAGGGCTTAGTTACAACTTTTTGTTGTTAGAACCTGGACCTCACTGGCCCATCTACACAGCAGGGATACGGGGGGCAAAGGGATGAGAGAATGTTCCCCTGCTGCCACGATGAACGGAACCACTGCAGGAGATAGAAGATAGATATATATATAGATATATATAAGAATAGAAGTAGAACGGCCAGGCAGAGGGTTGGATACACATGATGTGTGCGTGTCGTGGTTGTAGCAGCCGTGACGTTGCAAGAATTAGCTTCTAGCCCTCGATTCATTTGAGATGGGGGACGTGGCAGGACATGGCAGGACATGGCGGAGTGAGACCCGTGTTTAGGACTCGATACAGAAAGGAACCCGTGTGGAACTACTTTACAGTGCGGCTCCTGAGGAAGATGAACTCACATTTTGAAGACCTTCTCCCTAGGTGCTCGTTGTCGACGGTGTCACTGGACCACTCCACCTTCTTCTCAGTCTTCCTCTTCCTCAGCTTGATTGTCAGGCTTCGTCCCTCCTGTAATGGGGAGGGATACAGTGTTTGACTGTGTCCTCACAGCCATGAGGTCCTGTAGTGCTGGAGGTACTAGAGATGCTGTGTGGCTCCAGGGACGACACAGGAGACGATGCAAAAGGAACAGCTTCAGTGGTAAAACATCGCCGTGTTCCCAACAAACAGTTTGCCACATTGGACATTTAAACTGCGATCTTCATCATGCCAACGCATTTAAACGTGGTAGGTATCAGTGGGATGGATAGGACGTGTTGCATATAGAAGCCGTACTACGTGGTACTACGTGGTACTACGTGGTACTACGTGCTGATGGGGTCGGGGTCTAGGTGGGAATGCCCGCTGGACTCATCTGGTGAAACGGGACGGACCCAAAGTTAAAGCAACACTAATGTGTCACGTGTTCAAGTATTCCAACAAGTACAGAGCCAGAGCACAGCGCTACCACACCAGCTGAGGTTTAGGATTGTTTATCCGGTGTTTCTTGGGTTTGCTCCGGACTGAATGCGGTCACGGTACCGTACCATCAGCACCGGCAGCATGCCTTGCACATGGGTCACACTGGTACCCGGCCTTCGCAGAGAGCCGCGAGCCAGCGACCCTGCTGATGCAAACGGTTAGCTAGCACTGTGACACACGTTTACCGTGATGCCCACGGTACCGTGACGTCACAGAGCTCACCGTTACCGGTGACGTCAGTGCCATGTTGTTACAGGTGAGGCCTCGTGAAGCTCCATGAAGTCACGTTAGCACGTAGCGCTTGACGCGTTAGCTAAACAGTATCGCGTCCTCGCGACCGGCCGGCTTACCTGCTGCGGCGGCGGGGTGCTCGTCTCAACCGTCTCCGTTATGGTCTCACTCGATGTCCCGGGAGCCTCCGCCATCCCTGGAGCTGCTCGCTGCTACTTACCGTTAGCTGGCGTAAAGACGGGAAGAGCCAGGGTCGACCGTCAGGGAGAGACAACGTCTGTCCGTTAGCTAGCTAACGTTACAATGGCGGATCTGAGTATTCAAAGAGATTGTTGACGTGCAGGTTGTGAGGCGTTGGACATGTCTTTGAGATGCGGTCAAGCTGCCACACAGGTCGTCGCACTTAAACGGAAGTTGAAGGTTTTCACCTCAGAACGATGCTCATCTAACTTAATTAAGAAATGTGAATATGGGGTCGCATTAACAAAACCCAGTCCCGCTAAACCACCGTGCTACTTCACTGTCTTATCTATTCCAGCTAAGGAGCAGTCAGGGCATTCGTATTGCGGTTCTGTAGAATCTTATTTCTGCGTGTCAGTTTATTTTGAAGGTCTGCAGGACGTTCCGTCTCTGACAGCAGTAGCGTGTGGGGAAGATAATCACAGACGCACACGGGTTACTTCCTGTTGTATTAGTCCGTCAATAACATGACCAGCATGCCAAGAATAAACATGAAGTGATATGAAAGGATAATTGTTCTAGGGATGAATGTTTACAGAGGACTTGATGAGAAACCGGATATAAACACCCTCTCCTGAAGTGGCGAACTTGAAAGGTCGCGCAGCTTTGGGGGACAGTGCGAGTATCGAAAGCACAGCGAGGACACGAAGCTTCCCTCGCGTGCGTGCTAACGCTCAGCTAACGTCACTCGGGATGTGGAGGACAGGACGTGTCCTCAGGCTGAGGCTGACAGCCACAGGAGAAGCCTCCTTGTGTTCCAGCAAGCCAGCGAACCCTTCTTTGTCTCCTTCACCTCAGTCCAACTCGTCTCCGCGGTCCCAGGCAGACAAGCAGAGGCGGAGACGACAGCGCGAGGACGCCATTCTGTCCAATGCACACTCGGTAAGTAGGAGAGAAGCTTCAGGACAAAACGACGCAAATCGATGTAGTCTCAACTATCGTCAGGTATGTTTTCTCCAGGTAGGATCAAGTCAAAGGTGAGATCACACATCACCTCGTCCAGTGAACAAGGGACTGAACATATGCACTCCTGGACAGACATGCAGGACACTGGCAATGCTCTGTGAGATCAGTTCCTTCCCTTTAAGAATAAACCCCAAATGTACAATGTTAGAGACAGCATGGTGTCCTCAAGAGGTCCAGGCTGTGTAGAGACGCAGTCCTGCTCTGTGACGTCACATCACTCACAGCAGCTCCACACACCAAATGCAAACACATAAACCCAATGATTGCAGTTGGCAGCTTTTGGCCAGTTGAATGTTGCTTTTGGGATATGAGGGAGAATTATGTCAATATTTTGCCTGCTCACACGTCAAAATGATTCTGTGGACATTTAAACGTATTCACAGCTGTTGGGAAAGTGCTGAACTGACTGATCACCAAATATTTGAATTGAACTTTATCCTCCATGCACAGTTTTTACATTTGCCCATTTCAGGGCCGTCCCACCCACAGTCCTTACATGTCCCATAGGTGGAAGCAGCTGCTCTTTAGTGAAGGTGGACCATTTGTCCACACACACACACACACACACACACACACACACACACACATCCTTTCTCTATAATACTTCCTATAAAGCATGAATCACTTCTTTGTGCCACTCTTTCTTCTTAAGAACAACAACTGTGTGTCCATATTCTGATGCTGTTGAAAGGGGATTTCTCAATACGACATCATTACTGATCCTAGTGGCCCCCACGTTTCAGTTCAACTGATGAACATGTTTCCCTCCCCCATAGCGGGGTCTGTGTCTCCGTGGGTCTGGGTGGTGGTAAGCTAACGGGGTGGTGACTGTGTCTCCGTGGGTCTGGGTGGTGGTAAGCTCACGGGGTGGTGACTGTGTCTCCGTGGGTCTGGGTGGTGGTAAGCTAACGGGGTGGTGACTGTGTCTCCGTGGGTCTGGGTGGTGGTAAGCTAACGGGGTGGTGACTGTGTCTCCGTGGGTCTGGGTGGTGGTAAGCTAACGGGGTGGTGACTGTGTCTCCGTGGGTCTGGGTGGTGGTAAGCTTACGGGGTGGTGACTGTGTCTCCGTGGGTCTGGGTGGTGGTAAGCTCACGGGGTGGTGACTGTGTCTCCGTGGGTCTGGGTGGTGGTAAGCTAACGGGGTGGTGACTGTGTCTCCGTGGGTCTGGGTGGTGGTAAGCTAACGGGGTGGTGACTGTGTCTCCGTGGGTCTGGGTGGTGGTAAGCTTACGGGGTGGTGACTGTGTCTCCGTGGGTCTGGGTGGTGGTAAGCTAACGGGGTGGTAACGGTGTCTCCGTGGGTCTGGGTGGTGGTAAGCTAACGGGGTGGTGAATGTGTCTCCGTGGGTCTGGGTGGTGGTAAGCTCACAGGGTGGTGACTGTGTCTCCGTGGGTCTGGGTGGTGGTAAGCTAACGGGGTGGTGACTGTGTGCTCTGCTGCTTTCAGACTGCTGAAGAGGAAGCGGTGGGATGGAGCGAGAAGCAGACCATGGTGTACGCTGCTCAAACGCCTCCCGGGACAAAGAAAGGTGACTGACTTCTGCAGAAGCAGCTTGTGTATCTGTGCACATCTAAAGGGTGCGTTGTCCTCTGCAGACGCCCGGTCTCCGTTCCCGTCTTCGTACTGCCCACAGTACGTGGAGTCCAGCTGGTATCAGTGGTGGGAGAAAGAAGGATTCTTTCGTCCAGAACAACATGTGAGCAATTTCTAACCAAACAGCGCTTCACTTCTCATAAACTTAGTCCCGCCGTTAATAATATCTATATTATACTACAGACCGGTTTTGGACCGAAGAAGCAGCATTACCGGTCCAAATGCTGATGGTTCTTTACATTTGTTGCATTTAACCTATTTATTTGATGATTAGCAAACCAAGCTGAAATCTATCATTACTGGTTGGCGGAGGGAAGAATGTGTATTTGTATGAGTGTGACACAGACTACTAGCCCCCTTTGAACCCTCTCATTCTGTCAGAGCATGTTGAGCAACCAGCTCAACTAGAGCAGAACGTCCAAATGTGTCCATGTATTGTTTGTGCTCTGCACCCTCTCACAGTGGAGTCCGATCAGCGGGCTTATTTCACGGCCCTCGTTGAGTTCATGCTCCATTCCAGTAGTTACTGCAAGTCACTGGTCACTCACTGCCGCCATGTTCCCCAGGAGGAGCTGTCTCACCGCGTGGATCAGACCTTCGCCCTGTGCTTGCCTCCACCAAACGTGACCGGCACTCTGCACCTGGGCCACGCTCTCACTGTGGCCGTGGAGGACGCTCTGGTTCGATGGTAACAACAAGTGCGGCTGGTTAACGATTGATCGGTTAGTTTGATGAAGTCAAATATCAACGTGTAATCCGCCAGGAGGAGGATGCAGGGCTACAGGGTCCTGTGGGTCCCTGGATGTGACCATGCAGGTATTGCCACACAGGTAAGACAGCATCTTCCCTTCTCCGTCTGCCCGCTCACTCTCAGGCGTCGAATAAAGGGGTCTGCTTGGGATGTTCCTCTTCCTCTGGCTTAACGTGGCATCCTGTGTGTCTCCGTCAGACGGTGGTGGAGAGGAGACTGCTGAGGGACCGAGGGAAGCGCAGACAGGACTTCACCAGGAAACAGTTTCTACGCGAGGTGTGGAAATGGAAGGAAGAGTGAGTCTTCACATTCACATGCTCCTCTTTATTGTGTGTCTGGGAGGCAGCACGTGTGCTTCAGTCTGTCCCCGTGTCTCCCAGGACCGGAGAGGAGATCTACCACCAGCTGAGGAGGCTCGGAGCGTCTCTGGACTGGAGCAGAGCCTGTTTCACCATGGATCCAGTAAGCCGTGCCGTCCTCTGCTTAGAACCTGGGGAAGTCACTGTTTACTCAGCACAGGTTCATGAGACGTGTCCCACCTGCTGCGATGACACGGAGGAACAGAGGGGGAGACTGGGGCTGTCCTCCCAACAGCTGTCCCTGTGTAATCATCTCATGATGAGGCTCTTAGATCAATACGAAATAACTAATCTCACCTTTTGAGATTCTTTAATTAGATAAATCCGGATGAATCACTTCAAATAGGGTGTATTTTAAACGAGCGAGGAACTAGTGACTCTTCCTGTTGTCCTCGTGCACTTTGCTCTTGACTCCATATGGACACATTTCGCCAGGACATTTAGTCTTTTATGGACACAGTGGTACATGTTGACATGCAAGTAGCCTAGCAGCTACTAGGGCTGCAGCTGACCATTCTTTGGATTATTGACCGTAGTGTAGGAGCGTGGAAACAAACAGACGCAAGTGTTCCTTCTGGCTACAACGTGTGGCCGTTTACTTCCATCAAATAACGTCTCTCACATTCACTTCCTGCTCCTGGTTTACCCCCCAGGTCACCAGGGTTACGCCCCGTTCTCCTCAATTCAGTCCTTCAGGCCCCTAAATAGCTCATTAAAATGATGTATAAGGATGTATTTGGGTGACCAGTTAATACACATGTAATCCTAATGAATCCATTGAATAGTAATACAAAATGTAAGTGCAAATGCGTGTTTAAAAGTAACTCCAAATACTAATAGTCTTTGCAGGTGACGAGCGTGTTCTCTGTCCAGCTCCTTCATCTGCGTGCACGAGCCTCTGAGGGGCAAACGTGTGCACGACGCTCAGTACTACAAGAGGTTAACTATTCAGAAGGAACAAAGGATTCGCCCCTCCAACAGAGAAGTGTTAGCGAGCATCCACAGTGAGACCGTCTCCAACATGTAGCGTGTAAAGCGTAGGATCAGCTAACACGTGAGGACCTTTTAAATGCTGCTGTGAAACGCCAACTCGGTGCTGCGTTGTGCTGTTTGCTTTGGTTCGCTGATGAAATACTCTGGACTTTTTCCACTCTCCCACGTTCAACGTTTCCTTGGTGCATGTAGACACCAGAAGCCGTAGCCCCCCCAGCACTTCCTGCAGTCTATCGCAAGGCTGAATGAAAAAGACCTGTAGCTCTGAATCGTTTTCTAATATACTATAAAAATCCGACGTCAGTTATGTCGACCAATCGTTGCAGCTCAACGTGTTGCGGGTCCCATCGGTCCTTTTGCACTGCGCTGTAAACCCTGTTGATGGCATGTGTAATGTGCTTGGTTGTGACTGCAGGCGTTCAGCAGGGCCGTGACTGAGGCCTTCGTCAGGCTCAGCGACTCGGGTCTCATCTACCGCTCGGAGGCGCTGGTCAACTGGAGCTGTGCTCTGGGATCGGCCATCTCTGACATAGAGGTGAATACAAGGAGAACAAGTCTGAGATGTTCGTAAGTAGGGCTCTTCTTCTGGCACCAGCCGTGTGTTCAAACTGGGAAATATCTAATCCAATATACGGTTTATTAGCGGTCAGGTGACCTACAGTGCTTATGGGGGGCAGTGAGTTTTCTGTACACAAATGACTAAACTTCTTCCACGAGAGACCGACTGCCGGATGCAGCTGAAGGCTCTGGAAGAAGCTTGTAAGATGGTTTTTCTTTGTGTCAAACAGTGTTCATTTCGTCGACGAAAACTATGACGAAAAATGTTCGTTAACGACCCTTTTTTCCACGACTAAGACGAGACGAAGACGATCTTAAAAAATAAAAACTATGACTAAATCTATTCTAACAGACAAAGTACGGCGGATATTAACTTTGCGTCATGATGACGTCATCCACGAACCCAGAACGCTCGCAGCGGTGCAGCGGTGGTTCTTGTGCACCGACTACGGACCGCAACGACTATTTTACGCTTGGGCGAGTTTGAATGTGGCTTCGTTAGTTTAGCTCAGCTGTCTGTTTAGCTGCCTGTTAGCAGGCTGAAGCCGCGCTGCTTCACAGAAACATGAAGACCCGTTTAAAGACTGTGGGACCTTTCTGCTCTGTTCTCTGGCGACGGCAGGCAGCGTTTCCTCGCTGGATGAGACGTCCCAAACGCGTCTAACGTAATAAACTCATTGCATTTTCGTCTAAAGACTAAGACTAAATCAAAAATAGCTGCCAAAATGAACACTGGTGTCAAACTAGTTAGAATTTATTTTATTGTACTGTGAGTTGACGCCTGGTAAACACGGCCCATATTTAAATCACGGCTGGTGTCATGAAGAGCAGAATCATTGGCTGAGTGTTTCTCATAAAGCAAATCTTCTGCTATAATGAGAAAGAGGAAGATGAGTAGAGATGGAGGTTTGTCGGTCAGCCTGTGCGTTTGCTGTCAGGTTGACTCAAAGGAGCTGTCGGGACGGACCATGCTGTCTGTTCCTGGTTATGACGAAGAGGTGGAGTTTGGAAGCCTGCTGACCTTCGCCTACCCTTTAGAAGGCCACGGTGAGTGCGTGAGACTGATCCGTGTGCTGTTCGATGGTGGTGGTGGTGGTGGTGGTGTGATGATCCCCTCCATCTGTTGTACTTTAGATGGAGAGGTGGCGGTGTCCACCACCCGTCCTGAGACCATGCTGGGAGATGTGGCCATAGCCGTTCACCCTGACGATCCTCGGTATCAGGCTAGTACCAGTCGGCATGCCCCATTGGTTCTGATACAAGGCCTGTAGAAGCACATAAGAACGTCTTTGTTTTCTCAGCGTATAACCACAGATTCTAATGGATTTCATATGAATGGACCACAAAACGGTCCATCATCTGGAGGTCAGGGGAAAGCTCACAAATCAAGGTCTAAAAAGTGAATATGTATTCACCCCCCAACTGTAAAACCCTAAAAGATCTGGTGTGACCAATTGTGTGACCTGAACCAGGAGCATCATGGAGACCAAGGAGCTCACTAAACACCTCAGCGAGGAAGTTTGAGCTCAAATATGAAGCAGGAAAAGTGGAACCAATACGGCACAACGAGAACCGTCCACCTAAAGTGAGCCAAGAAGAAGATGAATCAGAGAAGCAAACAAGAGGCTCATGGGAACTCTGGAGGAGCTGCAAAGAGCCGCACCTGAAGGAAGAATCTGGCCACAGGACAACTGTGACCGTGTGCTCCACACATCTGTCCTGCATGGACGAGCGGCACAAGGAAAGCCGCTGTGGAGGTTGTTTGTGTCACAGATTGATTGAATGTCTATTTGAACCCCAGTTTGTAACGGACAGGCACTGTCTAACATTGTGTATGTGTTGCCGTGGTGATAGAAAGTGAATTGTAGAGGAGTCGGGCAGTGCACACCTCTCGTACTCCTCCTCCTCAGACAGGAAACATGTTATTTAGATATTGTACAGGCGGCGTTGGGGCTCTTCTCATGTGTGAGTAGAGCCTACTGGCTTTTAGACTAACTCATCTGCAACCATGTCCTCCATGTTGAGCTGTATTGAGGGAACGGGTTAGTGTCGACATGCCCCCACAATCCAAACAGAAATGATAACACACTGACGTCATATTAAGGTTATAAAAACATTTGACAAAAGCTGATTTTATATATTCAGTAAGATATGAGAAGTAGACCCAAAACAACAATACAGATCTTATGACTCTAGAGGGACAAATATTGACCATTTGGATCATAACCGTGTAAATGAGACGGAATCAGCATTCACATGATGATAAATATAATGTACTTATTATCTGCGGTTTAGTCCCCTGACAGCGCTAACCTCTTCAACGCTACATGACTTCATTCATCCACTGATGACAGGAGCTACCGCACACAGACACCTCCGTCACTAACGTCACACTAGGTACAGCCATCTGTCCATGTCCATCACGCCCAAGGACGTGTGGACATGGACGCCAGTGGAGCATTGGTTGATATAAATATACCTGTTAAAAAAGATGTCCAGAAGATGGACAAAATGCTACAAGAAGAATTTAAAATCCAACTTTTAGGATTACTGTCATTCAAGAGGCCGTGTCAGAACATCACAGAATCCTGCAGATCGAGCCGAGAGGCATGAACGTTAACAACTTTAAGGAAGATTATATGTGGATAAAAGGGCCACCGTTTCTGTGGTGCCCAGATGGTGAACGGCCAACGAGACCAAACAAGGAGGCACAAGACCTGCACCAAGATCCACAGGTCAAGAACATCACGGTGTATCCAGTCTTAACTGAAGAGAATGCTGACACAGTCAACAAATTGCTTCAGTATTACTCACGTTGGGACAGACTTCAGAGAGCAGTGGCATGGATTACGAAAGCCAAGGAAACAGTGAGTTTTACAGCGCTCCATCAGTCGGGTCAACCAGGACCCAGCAAGCCTAAAATCACTTCTGCAGCAACGAATGAAAACGCTCAAACGGTGATATTAAAAGGAAAACACTGAGCTGGGAACAGTTGATGGCTGCAGAAGCAGAAATCATTCTACAGTCGGAAACAATCGTTCCCTGAAGAAGTGAAGGCCCTCTTTGGTAGTGGGTCTGTCAAAAGAAGTAGTCAGCTATACGGTGCCGGAGTATTGTCAAAAGATACGGTGTAATGTTCACCTGTCTCGCCATTCGAGCTGTACATATAGACATTGCAGACAGTCTTGCATCAACGCCTTACGTTGTTTAATAAGTAGAGGCCAGGTCCTGCACGGAGGACCCTTAATTCTCTTGTGAGAGAGCCGACCTTCACTGACGACAATTTGCTAATGTGTGAGGTTGAAAGTATCTTTAATGGACGACCACGCACCGATGATCCGTGTGACATGGAGCCTTTGACTCCCAATCATCTGCTACTTATGAAAGAGCTGGGAACATTCAACAAAGACGATCTGTATCAGGAAGACGCTGGAGGCAAGTCCAGCATCTCGCAGATCTGTTTGGACCAAGAGCACCTACCTCTCCTCCAGGAGCGACCAAGTGTTCAAGTAGGAAAAGAAACTTCCAGCATGGAGATGTGGTGTTACTAGTGGATAGTTCTTCTCCACGAGACACATGACTAATGGGAAGAGCGAAGCTGCAGACCTGTTAATAAACTGTCTTTATTTGCAAGAAGCCACTTGAACATAAGATCATATAATGAAAGAGCACAGTACTTCTACCGTGTGACGGAATGAGCTTTGTGTTAACCAAATACACAAAAAGCTCATTCTGTCACACGGTAGGAAAACTGTGCTCTAGTGCCTCATCTCAGTTACACCTGCTGCAAACATGACGTCAATATAAGCAGGAAAACAAAGGGGGCATCATGCCAACATCTGCATCCAATATAATGTCCTCAATATTCCACTACCCAATTTGTCCACTTTGTTCCAGTGTGTGCACGGGAAGCAGTGCAGACACCCTTTCACCAACCGAGCCCTGCCCATCATCACTGATGCCATGGTGGACATGGAGCTGGGAACCGGTGACAGCAACACTACGCATCAGAAGCAAACACACGGGGAGCCGCCGCGTGATGTGCGCTCACTTCCTGTGTTTGGCTTCTGTAGGCGCCGTGAAGGTGACCCCTGCTCATGACCATACGGACTTCCTGCTGTCACAGAGACATTCTTTGCCACGCGTCACTGTGATTGGAGGAGATGGGACCATGACTCCGCCCTGTGGAAAATGGCTTGAGGTGCATTGAGACCACTGTTATAATGGGTGGATCTTCACGGTGGATTAGTGATAGAAGACAACTGGAATGTGTGTGTCTCAGGGAGTGAAGCGGTTCGATGCCAGACAGCTGATTGTGGATGCCCTGGTTGAGAAGGGGCTGTTCAGAGGGAAGAAGACTCACCCCATGACCTTACCTGTCTGCAGGTTAGTATTCAGACCTTCTGTCTGTGTCTCTTTTTCCTCTTTCTTCTTTACAACACGCAGGCTAAAGGCTGCGGCCTGGCATGTTCCATCACTAAGGAGTGGAACATGGAATAAACTCAGTTTAGGAGAGGGAGAAGCGAAAAGCACCTCTACTAATCATCTACTAATGAGTCGAGCAATGCACCAATTAAACGGTTAGAATAGGACTACTGTTAATGTTTGTGTCCTTCTTCCCTCCTCCCTCCTTTCCTCAGCCGCTCAGGGGACATCATCGAACCTCTTCTAAAGAAGCAATGGTTCGTACGCTGTGACGAAATGGCTGAAAAAGCGATCCAGGTAAGTTGGTTGAGATGTTGACATGGAGGAGAACCTAGTTGCATTACTTACTTTTAAGCTGTGGTTCTTAACCATTCTTTAGTGATGTACCCATTTCCTTCAGCCAAGTGCCCCCTAAAATTGAATGGATGCTCGTTTTAAATTCATTTAAAAGTAATCTCATGTAGCCTTGGAAGGCCTTAACGTTCCCCCATTCAAGAACTACGGCTTTAACGTAACCATGTCGGGCGCCATCATGTAAATGTAGATCTATGAAATGCTTAAAAATGGAGACTGCTTGTTTCCCTGTCAGGCTGTGGAGGACAAGCAGCTGGAAATCATCCCTCACTACCACACTAAGACATGGAATAACTGGCTGTCCAACATCAGGTGGGCTGTCCTGACCTGCTGGTGTTACTGGTGTGATGTGTGTGTGAAATGACAACAATGCAGCTCTGTTTCCCTTGCAGTGATTGGTGCATTTCCAGGCAGCTTTGGTGGGGTCATCAGATCCCTGCTTACCAAGTGGTCTTCCCTAATGCCACCGACAAACAAGAGGTTGGGTTTTAAGAATAACACCACGAAATGTTACACTGACTTCATCCAACGGAAGACTGGATCCCGTCTAAGGACACGGGACGTGTGTGTGTTTCTCATAGGAGCTGTGGGTTTGGGGACAGACTGAGGACGACGCCCGGCACCGAGCTGCCGTTAAATATGGAGTGAAGCCAGAAGACGTCACTTTGACTCAGGGTGACTGGTCTTATCTGTTAAGGGAAAAGCTCTGCCATTTAGCACCTCCCATATTATTGCTTGTGTTGTGCTGCCTCCTCACGTACTACTCTCCACCCCCCGTTATGATGTCATACCGCCTCCCCAGTCCTGCCCTGCTTTCCTAAGGCTGACTTTCTGCTGTGGTAGCAAACCTGTCCAGCAGCCAGGTCTCTTTAGAATTTATTTTTTAATGTTAAATCACATTAACATTTACACGCAGATGTCGGACAGTAAATAACATAAAAGCAACACATCTCTTACTGTGGCTACAGATTTTCTACTTACCCACATTCTTTACCCTCCTCACGTACTACTCTCAACCCCCCGCCGTCATGGTTTGCCGTCATGGTTTGCTGACATAGTTTGCCGTCATGGTTTGCCGTCATGGTTTGCCGTCATGGTTTGCCGTCCCTGTCATGAAGTGTGCGAGCTCTTCCAGTTTCGTGGGATCAGCTTTGCTGCCACAATCAAACTTGTAAATGAAAGGATGTCTTTGTTGATTGGTCTTCATGCGTTCTGTGGCAGACCCTGATGTCCTGGATACGTGGTTCTCCTCAGGGCTCTTTCCCTTTGCAATGCTTGGCTGGCCTGAGCAGGTACTGCATCAACACCAGCAGAACACGGTCCTCAATAAACCGCCCCGTCTCTTTATAACCACACCTTCACTTTCCACAGACCAATGACCTTCAGCGCTTCTACCCGAGCTCCATTCTGGAGACGGGCAGTGACCTCCTCTTCTTCTGGGTGGCGAGGATGGTGATGCTGGGCACAGAGCTGACGGGGCAGCTGCCCTTTAAACAGGTCCTTAGTCAACGACAAACAGGTCAGATGCAAACATTTAAATGCAGAAGTGCGTAAGCGCATCCTGCTGTGTTTCTCTCTCCCTTTCAGGTTCTCCTCCACTCTATGGTGAGAGACAAACACGGCAGGAAGATGAGCAAATCTCTGGGAAATGTCATTGACCCATTAGATGTTATACACGGAGTTTCTCTCGAGGTAGGTATACCTGGTCTGGTCCATGAGGCAAATATCTGCTAATGATTATAATCCCACTGAATGAGAGGACGGGAAGGGTCGGGTCGCCCCAGCAGGTTGACCCAGACTTCTTCTCAATGACATTTCCCAGTTCATCCTGGAGGATCCCGATGCGCTTCCGGGCCGGCTGGGAAATAGAATCCTTCGATGTCATGTGTACACAATCAACAAAGTAAACGATGTACAATACGTCCACTGCATTTGATTCAAATGATTCATACCATGAGAGTAGTATACAAAATAATGATGGAAAAGTGACAAATAATAATAGTCTAAGGGGGAGAAAACAATAAAGAAAGGTCTACAGCAGCTTATATATGGGCTGGTCCAGTCTAAGCTGAGCCAGCCCTAACTAAGCGCTATCAAAGAAGCCTTAGGCCTACTCTACTACTACTAGCTCTAGGCTATAGATATTTTAATACAAATATGTTCAACAAAAGGTTTGTTATCCCTGAGAGTTAAAGGACACAGCCTGATGGATGATAACTAATAAACCATTGTTATGTACAAAGTCACATAGTTGATCTCTCAAGGATCTTCGAGAGGAAGGGCAGATTAGAGACAGGTCTTAAGAGGAGGTTTAATTACAGCTACCTTGAAGGACTGATGCATGTCAAGACAGATTCATAATGTCTAGTAAAGACGTGCTAACTAAAGGAAAAACTACTTCAAGCAGCCAAGTCGGGATGGGACCCAAGAAACCGCTCTACGGGGAGCAAAGCCAGCAGTGTTTGGGGCTGTTTCTAAGGCTTCTACATTTGAGGATACAGCAGAGTGAAAACGGGTTTGCCTTTGCATGCTTGTCACACCCAAATGTTTCAGATCATCAAAACAAATGTAAATATTATATATATATATACATATAAACAAAAATGCAGAAAAAAACCCAAACCTACATGGACCTTTCTAAAAAGGGGTTTTAATGGGGGGGGGATCCCTTTTTCACACAGGGCCATGTAAATTAAATCCATTTAAAATCTGTATTTAGTGTTTACGTGTTACTTTGTCTAATATTTAAATCTGTTTGATGATCTGAAACATCTAAGTGTGACAAACATCAGGAAGGGGGCAAACACTTTTTCCCACATCTGTGTATGGGTGCTGGTTTTCTCTCATAGTATCATTAAATAAGTCATTACTACTGAGGTCCACAGGAGTAAACATGCATACGAGCACACACCTGAGGGAGGAGGCCAACTCAATCAAGTGGACCTGCAGAATGTGTGTTGGGCTGCCCGGCTGGGACGGGTACCGCTCTGAGGCTCTCGGACCTGAGTAGTTGCTTGTTTCCTCACAGAGGCTTCAACAGAAAGTGAAGGAGGGGAACCTGGACCCCAGGGAGAGGCTGGTTGCCATGGGAGCGCAGGTCAGCCCCCGTCTCTCCTGTGTGTTGACCTGTGGCTCACTGAGTCTCTCATCTGTCACTTCCATCTGCTCCCCTGCAGAGCAAAGACTTCCCCAAAGGGATCCCTCAGTGTGGGACCGACGCCCTGAGGTTCGCCCTCTGCTCCCACAAGATGCAGGGTGAGAGACTGGTGTCCCCGTGGGCGACTGTGGGTGTGTGAGACAGGAGGGGAAGACGGAGAGCCTGAGGAGACGTGAGCAGTGTTTCATCACTCGCTGGCTCCTCAACACTGACACAGCTCTCAGATCACCCAAACAAATGTCCCTTCCCATTGCTTCAATTCTTGAGAGTTCACCTCAGTGACTTGTGTCAGGGACATTTGCTGTCATTGTAGACTAGGGCTCATGTGAAATAATGAGATGTATCTGAACCATTGAGTATTGAAGCTTTAAAGGGGGACGCTTAATATGTTTTGGTTAAAATAACTCTTTAATAACACTTGACTAGTGTATAATTCAGGCGCTGGTACGACTCATTTGTCCTTCAACTTGATTTGGATCAACTCATGAACTGTGATCATTCGCCTTGGGTCTACTCACGCTCTCACTATGTGGGATTCCTCTTCAGGAGAAGACATCAGTCTGTCCATCTCTGAGGTCCTGAGCTGCAGACACTTCTGTAATAAAATGTGGCAGACGCTGAGGTTCACACTGGGAGTGCTGGGTGACAACACAACACCAGTGGGAACTCTGGAGGAGGTACAGCAAAGACACTGACTTTCCTAGCAGGACACATTTATTTATCTACTCATGAAACATTAAATGTGGTCATCAAAGCAATTTTGACAAAAACATGTAGAGCACTACTTAAAATGACCTGATTTTATGAGCCTCGTTCAAACGGTACATTTTCTATTAAATAAATACCTATAATTGTAAATCATATTTGACGTTGTCATGACGTCGTGCCATGTGGCAGCAAAGTGCTTCATCAATTCATATTTACACCATTTAAAGCCCTCAGACACTCAAACACTGACCTGGTCAGGGGTCAGGGTTTAGGGGGGGCATATTGGGCCGTAGCATTTCTTGGGGGTGGTGGCATTTGGGGGATCAGCCCCCCCTGTTCTCCTATAACACACCGGTCTAAACTCGGTATCTGTTATTATATGAAGTTGTTCATTGATTTTTGAATGTTGTGTGATTGAATGCTTTGAAAGTTGCCTATAAATATAACACAGCCGTGTGTCTGTTAGACACAACGGACGTGAGCGGTAAGTCCTATAAAAGATGATATCAATGTTTCAGACGAGTGCTGTGAGCAGCTTGGACCGTTGGATCTGCTCCAGACTCTACAGCACCGTAGTGGAGTGTGAACGGGCCCTGGAGGCCTACGAGCTGCACGCTGTCACTTCTGCACTCTACTCCTTCTGGGTCCACAGCCTGTGTGACGTCTACGTGGTGAGGAGCTCAACGTGCTCTTTACTTTACTCACTGCTCACCTTCAGGCTAAAGTACACGTCTTTGCATCAGGCCTGTCCTCATCACAGTGCATCTCATAGAAGGAACATAGACTTTTTACCCAAAATGAAGACTTCCATGTTGTGCTACATTCCAGCTAATGTACACGTTGTTCCATCAAAAAGATTTGTGTACATATATCACAAAGTTACAGTGGCGCTGAAGTGCAAAACACAACGGCAAATAGGAAAACACAACAACATTAACTCCTTACGGAAAGGGGAGGGCCTTATAGCAGAGGACGGGCCCTTCTGAGTGGACAGAGGGACTGTCTGTCTTTTAACAGGAAGTGATACAAGGCTCTCCAGTGTCACGCACTGAGCGAGACAGTCACGCATTTCAGTCTCTTGTCACGCACTCCCGCCACACACCAACTCCTAACGCCAAGGAATCGGACTCGGTCCCCGAGCCGTGTCGGCCGTAGCGTCCGCCATTCCCCAGCTTCCAGAATCCGATTGTGCAAATAGTTAAAGGAGTCGCGGTAATTTGAATCCTCCATGTCACTTTCCATCGCAGGCAAAAGGCTTCGGATTAAGAGGGTTAAAAGACACAGTCCGTCTGTCCAATCAGAAGGGCCCGTCCTCTGCTTCCTGCTATAAGGCCCTCCCCTTTCCGTAAGGAGTTGATGTTGTTGTGTTTTGCACTTCAAGGCCACCGTAGAAATTAGCATCAGAGGGCTACACAGTCTGTACACATGCAACATCAAAGTAGCTACAGCATCAATTTGGGTGTTAAAAAGTTATATTATATTATAAAAAGTGTGTTTCACATACTAGATAAAGTAATTATGTACTATTTTATAATCAAGCTAGTGTAACTTGGAGGCTGGAGGAACCCTTTCAGCTCAGTATCATTCGGTTCTTTTAGCATGCAGCTACTTCCATGCTAACTGTATTTACTATTACTATTAGCTATTAGGTGTGTTTTCAATAGAAATTGAGCACGATTAAAATATTGTATGCGTAAAGCAACCAAACGCACAGAACATGTTTACTTGCTGAATGCTAGCATGCTACGAGCTATGCTAACCAGCTTACCAAGGGCTCAAGTAAAAGGACTGGTTATAGTTGCAGGTGTGCTTCATGTAACACTGACGTACTGGCCGTGGTTTCATCAGCCCGTTCATGCCGCTGTTCATAGAGCGTCTTGTTAACAGCTCAGTCTATAGTTCCATATTAATGCCGTTTTAAATCCAATATTTAAATATGTTGAACTCACGTCTTCACGTAGACCAAATGTCGACCTTAATGATAACATTGTTACGACATTATCAAGAAATTAGCCTTTTTTTTTGCACGTCGCTCTTTCAACCACATTTTAGTCGGTTGGAAACACGTAGGAATGAGCTCTTGGCGGCTGAGGAAACCCGCTGACATGAGGCCTGGCGCTCGCGGGCTCTGTGTCTGTGTTCAGGAGCATATGAAGCCGGCGCTGGTCCTCCCTGACACACAGGTGGCCCCCAGCATCCTGTATCACTGTGTGTCCACGTCCCTGGCCCTGCTCTCCCCCTTCATGCCCTTCATCACCGAGGAGCTGTGGCAGAGACTTCCCCGAGCTGCTGCCCACAGCGCTCTGTGTTTACAGCCGTACCCCCGCTCCGCTCAGCTGGTAGGACGCCTTGTTTCCTGCGTGACGCTGTGGTGTAGTCCAGTAATGCAATAATGATTCTCAAAAGGACGATTCCGACTGTGGCTGATTCTATTGAGGGTTATCTGCTGACATTGATGGGGGAGGCTGTGGTTTGCAGGTGGAGGGGGTCCGTTTAGTCTGATTTATGATGCGTTTAACTTTCCATGTGTTTTAGCTGATGTGTTCTTATTTTCAACATCCTGCCAGGCACACTGGCATTTCCCTGTAGAGGAAAAGGATTTCCTCCTGGTGCAGGAAGTGATCCGAGTGGCCCGGTCACTACGAGCCCAGTGTGCCATGACCAAAGAAAAACCAGCCAGTGAGTCATTTAATGGCTCAAAAGGATCACGTTAATGAATAATACACTGCTGCTCCTCCTGTTAAATGAATGAATGGATCACATAACACGAGGCCGTCGTGTGCTTCAGTGTGGGCCGTGTGCTCAGCCAGCCAGGCCCAGGTCCTCCATCGCTTTGGGTCAGCTGTTTGGACTTTAAGCCGGATCTCCAACCTTCATATCTACTCTCCTGGAGCGGAGCCGCTCCCCCGGGTCCACTCCACCCCTCCACCTGTAGGGAGCCTCGTCGGCGTTGTGGACCACACATGTCAACTACACCTTTACATTCAGGTATGTACCAACGTCTTCCTGCTTCAGTCCTTAAGGGCCCAACCACGTGACTAAGCAAGAGAAGGAATCTACCATAATCAATGAATCATTTCTGGCTTTTCTTCATGTTATATATATATTTAAAAGATAAATGCCGTGTTCCAGATGTATAATGCAGCAAAGACAACAGATAAAAATCACACACAAATCTACTTCGCACAGCCAACAAAGTGTGCAGCGTGCGACAGTACACAGTCAAATAAAGCCGACTTTGAAATGCAATAGAATCAAATATCTTTGGTCATTATTTGAAGACACGGATACTCGGATAACAGTGAAAAATGTACACAATACACTACTAACATTTTATAGCGTGAACAGTCCTTCCTGTCCATGTTACGGGTGAACGGTGCTTTGTGACACGACGTCGTCAGCAGGTCATCACTGCATGTCACCACGCTGTTACAAACATATGGTCAAGCCGTGTCCTGTCTCGTATCCGCTGTCCTCTTTCCACCCTCAATCCTCCAAATATAACAACACCAGTGTTGAAGCGTGCCCACCTGTCCACGTCCTCGGCTTCGCCCTCTGCACTACACTTCCTCAAACAAAGCCCAGGCAGGTACTTTCTCATGTACCAACAAGCTGCATTTCCTCACAACCCTGTTGTACAATGACAGTAAATGTACCTGTAACTTTGTAGCCTTGAATTAAGTTTCCTCCTGCCAACATAAATGGAAAACCTGGCTTCTGATGCCAGATAGATGATGGAATACTACAAAGTGTATACATTCATATCCATAAGGACAACAATGTATGAAACATTATTCAATGCCTTTTCTCGAGTGATTAGTTCCATTGGCATAGTGTGGAGAAGTTGACTTGGTGTCTGACTCTCTCAGGGTGGAATGAACATTGATAAGCGGATGCTGCAGCTCAGCCAGCGCAGAGAGAAGCTCCTTCCAAAGCTGGAGAAACTCCTCTGCAGAGTCCGGTCTCCAGACTACCTGTCCAAGGCTCCTGCTCATGTCAGGCAACAGATGGACACTAAGGTGAGTGCAGCCATGTGTCATCATTGGCTGGACATTTTCTACGATATACAATATTCTAAAGCAATGGGCAATAAGGTCAAAGTCTAGTCATGGTTTGTGGAGGCAGTAGTTCTATTCTTTGTTTCCCTCGTTGGCCCCATTAGGTTGGCCTCCACTTTGGTCCAGACTGGAACCTTCCTGTGCTTCCTGCCATATCATAGTGTTGTTTACCCTAAAAGCACCTTAGTTTAAGTGTTTGCACAGATAAAAGTGCACAATTCATTAATGCATTCGCATTGTTTAGCATTACAATGCAACTAAGCAGAGATTCATGTGATTAATAATAAGAATTGTATGTAAACGCTGCACTTTGAACCCGTCCCCCTGCTGTGATTACAGACATCTGCCCTGCAGCAGGAGCTGAGGGCCATTGACGACCAGCTGAAGGTCCTGCAGCAGACCCGATCCAAAGAGTAACTACAGCTGCTGTGATCAATTATTTATAATGTTGTCTGAGAAGATGTTTCATAGTACCATGTGCCGGTGTCAAACTCTCATATTGCAGTTCTGCACTAGAAGGAAGTTGTGACAGGCCATTAATCCTTCATATGATCATTGTTTTTCAAATAAATCTGCCAAACTTCACCAACTGTGTTTTGTGAAAATACACACGCACATTCCCGGATGGAGTCTGATGTGGCCACACGCGGATGGAACAAGCATGTCGGACGTACGTACCCATACTGGACCTTTGTCCAACATGACTGTGCCTAGCATCTCTACCTGTGATGTGGAGCTGACCTTCAGTTGGGACCTAAGGTTCCACGACAACACCCATGTGACTGAAAAGTAGAAAGGGTTCAGTAAACTGAAGAAAGCAAGCAGGGCGTTTCTTCTCATGATTCATGTCCAAAATAGAGAATTCTGAGAAAGTGATCAACTCCGACCTCATCTGTGACCAGTGTGTTCACGAACAAAACCAAAATACAAGAAGAAACCTGATGCAACATAATATTGACTAAACGTAGGAGCATAATGGTCAACTTAATTTAAAGTTATATCGGGTATCTTAACAGGAAAAGAGGAGCCCCAACTCTCACTGTTACCTGACTGGGGCCCACAGACCTGTGTCTGAACAAGGAACCTGGGACGCTACTTTGCCCTAAAATAAAAGCCCAAACAGGCAGCTCAGGCATTCCTAAATTACTACGGGTGGATTTTGTTTTTCAAAACAAAGTTCAATTTGTGTCAGCTGATACATTTACAAGTTTCATTTATTTAAGGCAGAGGTCTTCAACAGGGGGTCTGCGAAGGTACTACAGGGAGGTTGCGAAATTTTTGGTTGATAAGACAATTTTTTTTTTTTATTCCCCCACAAATGTAAATGTCTTCAGAATCAGAATCAGAATTTTATTTATGGTCTTTAAATACACATTAACATGAATCCAACATATTGAAGCGAACGGATAAATTGATGCAGAAGACGTTATCTGTCAGTGCGCAACACACACACTCAGCTTCCCTCAGCGGCTCTCAATCTGCTCACCGGTTCCCTCACTGCTCCTTTCACACTGATACGACCGCGCAGGCACCAGCCAATCAGATCGCCTTTATGCTCACGTCTAAAGAGCGTGAAGCTCAACAATAAAAGATGGCGGACCAAACTCCCTGCTCCACCTCGCCATCTGTTTGGGGGACCTTGGCTTGAAAAACGTTGAAGACCTCTGATTTAAGGCTTTTATCCAACGTGACTTACGTCTTACAATAAGTGCATTCAAGCCCGATGGACCAGAACCAGAACAATAAGAATCAAAGTGCAATGTCTTTACAGTTTTTCTCGATTGCGAAGACACATTTCTTGAAAGCTGCTCTCCTTTTCTCTAAACTGTGAACACAGAACCCAATTTTCAAGCTACGTAGAAAAATAGAAAACACGATGCTCAGACCACAGGACTTCATCCACGTCACAGGCAACGGGGGAAAACCCCTGGCGTGCCGTATCCAGGCCTGGCGTGCCGTATCCAGGCCTGGCGTGCCGTATCCAGGCCTGGCGTGCCGTATCCAGGGCTGGCGTGCCGTATCCAGGGCTGGCGTGCCGTATCCAGGCCTGGCGTGCCGTATCCAGGGCTGGCGTGCCGTATCCAGGGCTGGCGTGCCGTATCCAGGCCTGGCGTGCCGTATCCAGGGCTGGCGTGCCGTATCCAGGGCTGGCGTGCCGTATCCAGGGCTGGCGTGCCTCCACATCAGGTCACACAGGCAAGTCCTGTGGCTTGCAGGAGATCTACCCTGGTGTAAGGTTGCCGTTCATATACCTTCCACCGCCATGAGGAGAAGAATTCCTCAATGGGGTTTAGGAAAGGGGAGTACGGTGATAAAACCTTGGTTCATATTGAACCTCTCTAACCTGGAGGGCTCTGTGAAAACTCACATTGTCCCAAACAACATCGATGGGATGCTCATCCTGCTGCCCGAACAGAGCATCGCATGCAATTGAGGAAAATGAGGAGCTGGTGAGCGTTGCAGGGCCCCAGGTTGGCGTGACGGTGGACAGCCCCATCATTGCTGATGGCAGCACATAATGTGACGTTGCCACCACGCTGCCCAGGAACACCAACAATGGCCCGATGGCCAATCACATTACGGCCTCTCCTTCTCCTGGTGGGATTAAACCCATGTAGATGTATTCATGGGGTCTTTCCATTGCATCCAGTTGAAAAACCCTCTGTAGAAATAGACATAGTTTTGTAAGTGATACGGAAAAAGTGATTTAGGCCACTACAGTAAATCACTTAGAGTGATCAACATTGGATGTGTCTGGATATATGGCAACCTGTACATAATGGAATCTTTGCCCTTTGACTCACTCTGTAAAGCCGTTTCACGCGCAGTCTGTTGCGCTTGAGGACACGATCAACCGTAGAGAGGCTGACACTGTTGATACTCTCAAAATGTACATGGTCCTCAATGATCTTCTGCTGAATTCCACTCAGTTTAATGGCATTGTTCTCACGGACCATACCAACAATTAGGGTCTCTTGGTGTGGGGAGAACATCCCTGTCCTCCCACCCCCATGTGGCAGTCTTTCAATTCTACAAAGAGAACATGGAGTTACAAAAAATATACATGGAATACTAGGCCTACAAATAGACCAACCCTCCATTACAATACTACAGTACAGTGATGTACTGAAACATACATTTACTTACAGTATACTGTACCACAGTATATAGTATGTCATACAGTAATTGCTGTCAACATTTACATACTGTACTATAATGTAACGGTAATTACTTGTTCTTCTTCTCTAAATCTTTCGGTGGACACAGTGAATCTACTGATGTTTGGTTGTACCTTTTGTCCAGCCTCCCTCATGCTCACATCATGGACAAGAACATGGTCAATCACAGCTCTGATTTCATCAGATATCACTGCTCTTTGTCTTCGCTGACCTCCTCTCACACAAACTCTTCCTCTCAGATTTCTATCCATTGTAGGGCCTCACCAACCAGTGCTCTCTGAACTGGCTCACTGTATATGTTCCCTCACATCATTAGCCACACGTGGGATCAATTTTGACTTGTTGTGTTCAAGTGGTGCCACCTGTGCTTTAATTGTGTTTGACATGACATTGTCACCTGTGCTCACCATTATGCAGCACGGGTGCATCACAATGAAAATGTGTTGGCGAGTTGTGTCTAAACAGGTGAAAAGTGCTTATGGTTTTGCCAAAAGAGTGATTGATTCAATCAGTGGGTTCAGGCAACTGAGCATTTGGTTCAGACAATAGGGTTTAGTGTTTTAGCAACTAAAGTACATACAGAAGTAAGTGCCACCTCGTCCAGGTGTAGTGGGTAGAGGGCGCTTTAATCTGTATGGCTTTCTGCTGTCGATGGGGAGCTCATTCCACCTTACACGAGCCAGGACAGCCAACGGTCAGGATTCTGTTGACTTTTTATCTTTCTGTGAGGGAGCAGCAAGCAGAGTGTCTGGAACGGAAGGTTTGGCCCCGTTCTGGATGTAGACTGGACCGAATCTTTTAGCTGTACGGTACTCAAGTACCAATGTTTTGAAATGGATGCGGGCAGCCACTGGTAACCAGTGAAGGGAGCGGAGTACTGGGGGTGAATTTGGGTACGCTGAAGATCCGTCGCTGCTGCATTCTGGGTGAGCTGCAGAGGTCGGATGATGATATTTTATCCAAGTGACAAAAAACAAGGTGAACTATTTGGCTAGAGTTTTACGCTGCACATCTTTTTAAAACAATGTGCACATCTTTTTAAAACAATGAGTGCAGATATATATGAGTCCTCTCATAAAAACACATTCTATCAGTATTATTAGCTGGGTGGACTTGATACAGCCACTCAATTCATCCTCAATGTTGGGCTTGGACCTCCATCTCGGTAACAGCAGCCTGTGGACTTTGTAACATGGGACGCTCTAAAGTAACTGAATTTCCCAGTGCGTCCCAACTGTAATACCACGCCGAACCACTAGAAGCTCGCGCCCCGCAGTTTGTATCAATTTGAATAATATAATTGAATACTATTATTCAAATTGTGAAGACAACGACCCCAACCCTTATTTTTCCATTCTGCATAAACAACTCAATTTCCTCAGAAATGCAATGAGCTACTTTTTAGCCCAGTAAAATAGACCCAACGCACAGACGCCGTTGTAATAAAGTGTTGCTTTTAGCAGCTTCACATCAGACCGTGAAGTCCGGATACGTGGACCTCCGCTGCACGGATCGGACCCCGTACATAATGGAAATAAATGATTGGAGGTCGCTATCACGAATGGAATTGTCGGGTTTTCGTTCGCAGGTTTACGAATAGAAAAGTTAATTTGTTCGGACTCAAGCAAAACATTGAATAATCAGGAAGTGATCGTCATCACACATCGCAAGAGGCCGCCTGTGACAGCCGGACTCGGGTCGCTCCACCAGGCGACAGAGGAGGACATCTCGCTGCAACATGGCTACACGAGCCGGGCGTCGCTGTTCGAGCGTTAGCTGCTAACATGTGATGGCATCCGGGGCTGGAGGGGCCGTGTAGCACCGCAAAGATGTGCTTTGAATGTGACGCCGAAGGAAAGACCAGAGTGCTGTTACCCAGCTAGCTAGCTAGCTAGCTGGCCGGTCGGCGCTGCGGCTTGACATGAGCCGTTTCCCCTCACGCCGACCAGTGGAACCAATCGGTTCACAGCGGAACGTCAGGGGTGAGTGACACTCGCTGCGGCTGCTACGTCAACAGCTTCGGCCAGCGGGCTCCGGCGCGACAAGAACCCGTTCTGTTGTTCAGCATTAGCCGGCAAGCTAGCTACTGGCTAGCGCGCACACAAGCTACCCTCCTTGCCCCGATGCGGAGCACCGTGCGCGGGTTTCACTAGCAGCCGAGGGGACGGGGGTCCCTGTCGATGGGCGGCCGCTGAGCCGCTCTGTGCGGCGGGGGACTCTTCACGTGTTTACCGGTTAACGGTCCCGGAGGCCTCACTGGCTCCCCGCAGCGGGGTCCTGCGACCTGTCCGCCGGCTGCTACTCGGTGCGGTGCCTCAGTAAGGTCACCTGCCTGCCGCGGGCTCCTCTGCGCGCGCCTACCAGTCCGCTCCACGTTGTCACGGGGCGCCGGGGGGGGGACCGGTGGGGCCCGGGGGGGCGGGAAGAAGAGACTTTAGTTGCAGCTGGTGCACTCAGTGAGCAGAGCAGCAGCTGCGAGGGACGACCTGTGGTAACGTGTCTACTTTTGCACTTTCATAATGCGTCCCACTGGTCTCCTGTGACTTGGACATGTGTCCCGTTGGACCTGGATGGACCAGCGTGGGCCGCCGTGTCTCCGACCCCGCTTTGTCTCGTGCTGCCTGCTTGCGATACGGACTCAATGGCTGCGTCCTTATTTCTAGCACGTGATCCAAAGGAACATTAAGTCCTGTTGGACGTTTTGATCACTTTTCTGCAGCACAAAAAGTTGTGCTCATGTATTGTAATTTTACCCGATTTGTATCATAAGTCGTTTTTTAAAGTATAAATAAGGTTTCTTTATCTCCATATTGGTTTGTGTAAAGTCTAGGGTTGCACACTGGTGGGGCTGTTAAAGGCCAGTGTGGCTTAGAAAGCGACAAGTGGATCCGCTCATCCGTCCTCGTTGGGATCCGCTCATCCGTCCTCGCTCATCCGTCCTCGTTGGGATCTGCTCATCCGTCCTCGCTCATCCGTCCTCGTTGGCGATACCTTCCAGTGTCCATCAGTGGACTACGGGTTGGCTTTACTTTTTCCAGCCACATGGTAGAAATTGTCCGTCTTCGCTAGTCTTCCTTTCCGTTCTGAAAATAGCCGTACTGTGGACAGCGTAGAATAAGTTGACAGTATTTTGTTCTTGGACCAAACAATACTCTTTGTGGACAACATTAGGCTGGATGTTTGTGGGCCGTTTATGAGAACTCGTATTCGTTCTCTGGTTGCATGTCCTCCTTCTCTTTAAATCCCCTCTTATTGTTTGTGGACAAGTCAATTTGAAGAAAACATTTTGCTTTGGTGTACACAATAGAACATTCCAAGCTTGATTACATCGTCTGCATCTTCACACTAAGAAAGCTTTTCATTTATTAGGCAATATTGTAGGAGGTGGTTTGTTTTGTCAAACAGAGGCAGTTTGCTGATTCAGCAAACACATATTGATGTAAAAAAAAACTTGTGAAAGTAACATTTTTATGTCACAAGTATGACGTATTGTGTACATGTGTTCAAGAACCGTCTTAAAATGATAATGTAGTATTTTGGATCATCCCGAAGCACCTCGTGTCCAGCAGCCCTCTTTAAACATGTCTGTCAGCAGGAAAGAGCAGCGTGGATTTTGGGCGTCGGGTTGCTTCCTCATAGCGGGATGCAAATGTGAGGATGAACGGGAATAACAAAGATTCATGGCTGATTAGTCTGTTGCTTCTAGTCAAACATCCACAGTACCGGATTATTGCGCGGCTATATTTATCAGCTGTAATTGGTTTAGCTTTCTAATTCTGAGGCTCTCCTGTGGAGCAGTCAGTGACTCACTGCGTCCCTCCATCTGTTAGGACAAGAACCCCACCTTTACTGACACACAGCCCCATGTAGCTGGACGGGAGGCTGTGTAAACATTTCGACATTTGTACGGGGGCATGTTTGCTCATGAGCAGTTGGACTTTGTTTTATAAAAAGTCAGATTCTTACTTGAATTTAAAGGTTATTTAAATAGTATGTAAATGTCAGCAAACTCAATGACAAAGCAGGTCTTCTCGTGTGGTGAGATATGGATGTCTGCCTCGTCCCCTATTCAGTGGCTGCGTGTGCGTGTGGTGTCTACGTGGACCAGCGTGTACACGATGCTCTCTGGTCACATGACGCCACGTGGAGCCACTGGCGTGAGCTGTACGGGTCTTCAGTGAGGTGGGAGTCTGCCTGCGTGGCCGGGTCTCCGCTTCCTGGTTTGCATACAATGACTTTCTCAGCTGGCTCGTCGGGCATTAAGACGTGCATCACCTCGGGGGGTGTAACTAGGGTCAGCCTGTCAGCCTGTCAGCCTGGCCACCTGTAGAAAAGGTTCACTATGAAAGCGTCCTCCACATGTGCGACCAACAGCTGGAGAACGTTTGCTTAACAAATGGCCTAAACATTTGACTAATTGTTTACTTCAAAACTGGTTAGTTAGGATATGTGACCGTTTGTGTACCAGGGGTCCAACCTCCTGCCCCAAGTCAGCATTTTCATCCAAGTCGCAGGTAGGCACAACAAAATGGATCAGGATCACTAACACTATCCGAACTCATAGGAACGATATGAAGAATGCTCCACAACATCAGGACATGGAGATAAGCAGGGCTCCCCGACCCATTGCAAGCAATAAATTGACTTTTACAGCTTGGATCATTCATCAAGACTGTTTTTATAAGATAAGCATTGAAACAAATCATCCTCTTCTCCCAAACTAGTTTAATTGAAATATTCTACAACACCGGTAAAGTGCCTCGTCTGCATATTGAGCTGGATTCAGCAAGTAGTACCACGTCTTCTTCTGAACAGGACACTGTTGGCTATCTGTTATGAAGCACGTGTGGTTTAAACCTGATCATAAACAGCCACACATTATATCATTACAGTGTCATAGGTATTGTTACAAAATATGTGTGATCTGGTTAACCGGCTGCGATGGAATGCTTGGATAGAAGTCGTTGTGGTCGCTCTCTGTCCCCGGATGGGCGCAACAACCGAAAGGATCTCTAGATGTGCAAATGCAGCCGTGTGGCCCCTCGTAAATCTGCCCAGGACACAAAGACCACCAGGGATAACTGTATAAAAGACTTTTATTCCTAATAAAACGTGGGAATAATTTATATTTTAAAGTGGCAGCCTCCTAATCCGTTATACTTCCACCGGGAACAATCCATTTACAAAGAGTCCATCTGCAGTCCACGATCAGCCAAAGTTCTGTTAAAACGCAGAAGCGTTAATCCGTATCAATCGTGTACTCCGGGATTTTGATGCCATTATCGCCCAATGACGGCGGCGTGCTCGTGTCTGCGCCACCCGTTACAGCTCCGTTCGTTCTGGTCCGTTTCAGTCCGTCGTCCTCCGTTCGTGTCTCCCTCCCGAATGGTGGCGGCCGTTGGCTTTTTAACACCCACCAACCGGCCACATTCATGTACCAGGTGGGAGCAATAGACTCGTGAGTTCTGTCGGGGGCAGCAGTCCATGCAACTCCCATTGCCACACAAAGATGATCATGCAATAATAAATAATAGTAAACACACCACAGCAATCAGTACAAATGGCACAGCACACTAGAAACACACCACTTCACTCCTAATCGGCTGACACAGAGCTAAGTGTGTCAAAGTACTGACTCAAGGGGGGCAATACTTCTGTTCTCATTGTTTGTGTCACAATAAAAGGAATTTTGCACCTTCAGAATACTAAACATGTGGTGTTGATCACGAGTCTATTTCAACAGTCCAAAGGTGGGGGGGTTACTCATGCAAGGTATCTGTTAGTCGCAGCGACCAGGTTTATTTAAGCATCATTATTTTAGTAATATTCCACTGCACAATATTTGGACTGTAAATGAGACGTGGTTGCAGTCATTGAGACGGCATTTGTTTTTTAATATTTGAAATGCAGAGGAGTGTCTTGGAGATGCTGCATCGATCACAGTAACCCCGTCCCAAAGCAGTCCCTGCTGTATGGTCCATCTGGCTCTTAATGGACCTTCATTTACTAAGTGAACATCTCGCAGCTTCACTCATCTGTTCAGGCTCGCAGAATTCGGTCAACACAATAGTCAAGTGCATTATTGTACTCTGGTCTAAAAACAAAGCGCTTAATTGATGACAAATACAGATATGTTGTCATTTCTAGGAAAAATCCATATGGCTCAAGAAAAACTATATCTTACTATAAATATCTTAGTAATATCTAGTCTTTGACAGTCCTACACAGATGTACATAGGATGCAATGATTCTGACAGTGTCTCAGCTTTCATTCAAGTGTACAGTGCATGAGTGGAAAGTGCTTTTCTTTCTCTTCAATCAAATGAGCTCCATACATTCTGCTGATTATTTGTTCTGCTCCTCTGTTTTCAGGAGGATGGCCGAAGGGTGATGTCCAAGAAGTCACTTCCCCTCCAGCCAAAGTGACCCCACTTCCCCCTTTTTTTATTCTCATCTGCACTTTTGAAACCTCCCGTTGCCTGACTTTGTGGGTCCTATCTCAGACAATTTCCCTTTTCTAAAAGGGATTTTAATGGGATGCATACATTCCGCAGCAGGATCATGTGAATTTATTTTAAATTGGACAATTCTCCTCAGCCTCTCAACCAAAACCTAGGATGTATCCACTTTGAAAAAATCCAATGTGATCAGATATCACCTTCTGAGATTGCCACCTCAGCCGGCAGGAGTTTGACTCTGGTTCTTTTCCACAACCTCATCCGCCTTCTTGTGTCATTGGGCCATGGTTCGCAAGAAGGGTTCTCTTATACTATGCGGTGCTTTCCTCTTTGTAGCCTGGAATGCTTTGCTCCTACTTTATCTTTGGGGTCGTCCTCCTATCGGCCGCCTCGGAGAAGGTGTTGGAGCAGAACCAGGAGGAAAGGACGAGTGGGCCTTGGGAAGAGGGAAAGGAGGCCGAGTCAACCTGGCCGCAGAGGTGATCAGGCTGGCAGAGGAGGTTGAAATTCAGCTAGAGACCCAGAAAGAGCTACTGAAGCAGATTGAAAGTCACAGGGCAGTGTGGGCTCGGCAGAGAGACGTCGGGAAAAGAGAAACTGAGGATACAAAAGAAGTCAAACAAGATGTTGTCCACCAGCCATCAACGCCTCCACTCCCACTCAAAGTGGGCGTGGATGATGTGGACCAAGCTCAAGTAAAAAACACACCAAAGCCTGTTCCTACGGTAGACCTGCATCAGGCCATTGGCATAAAGGAAGACATTGCTGAGAGCAATATATTGGCGACTTCTGTCGGCAACCCCGAAGTTGTCGTTCCCGTTTTAGTCATTGCTTGTGACAGAGTGACGGTAAAACGGAGCCTCGACAGACTAATACAGTACCGGCCTTCCGCAGCACTATATCCAATCATCGTCAGCCAAGACTGCGGCCACGCCGAGACCGCTCGAGTGATTGGCTCATATGGGGATCAAGTGACGCACATTAGACAACCAGACCTGTCTGACATCAGAGTTCGACCGGAGCACAGGAAGTTCCAGGGCTACTACAAAATTGCCCGTCATTACCACTGGGCGCTCAACCAGGTGTTCAACACCTTCTCCCACTCCACTGTGGTCATAGTGGAGGATGATCTGGAGGTGAGTGCTGTCAATGATGTGTCCATTGAGATGACTTCCAGGTACTGAATCTTCTCAGAAATGTCTGTACAGGAATGTAGTGTTGACAGACAACTGTAAACCTGCTCGCAGCTCACAGCGGTGACGAGACCGCTAAGAGATTCTTACCTTAAGTTTCCAAAGTAGCAATTGGCTGTAGATGCCAAGGCTACAAGATGGACCGTAGCAGTGAAATGGACTCTTCCTTAAATACACATATTAAAAACGACTGCATGCTCATAACTGCAGCATTCCATTAAATAGAAGTAGACTATTGCTTATTTTACATGCTTTTATTGTGAGCGTAAAGTTCAAGGACCGCCAGGCCTGTTTGTCTCTGCAGGATAAGGGAATCGGTGCGTGTGAGTCGGGTCACCCGGCGCTGTTGACTCTGTAATCATGCTGTGTCTGGCAAGCTCGGCAGTTTAGAAGATGTTTGACGGCCTTTCCATCATGGACACGCCGGTTCCATGATGGTCTCAAGTATTCACTGAAGACTCCTCGACATGGGCCACGGCAGCATGATGCACTCTCACCCGGACCCATCTTAGAGCGTCACAGAGCCCAGACTGGATTCCAGTCGCATCCCTCACTATGTAGGGCTGAGTGTGTTCTGGATCATAGCAGACACTGTGAATAATCTCTATTCACAAGACTTTCTTTCTCTGAGTTGGTTTTAAATGCAATATGGGACACTTGGAGGCCTACTTCGCTTAAATTGTCCCATTTCAACCTACTTTTGAAATCTACACCACACCATTTAAGAGGGAATATTTGGATTCCTCCTTTCCTTTCAGGTAGTAGTGACTTATTGAGTCACTACTACCTGAAAGTCACTACCAGTCTTACATTACAAAGACATGAGTCTTATAAATACAACGTAAGCCTTAAACAAGCAGTGGCCATCCTGATAAAGAGCAGTTTCTAGTTTAGTTTTCAGATGTCTTTGTAAACCTTTTATTCGGTTTAGAAGCACGACTTAAGCTGATCTCATGTTGGCTTTGTTGTTGAAGGTCTTTGACTTGTTATCGTTGTAATAACATCAGCTGGGAACATGCTGACCTCCCTAAAACAAAGTCGGAAACGCAGCTCACTTCCTCCCAGCTCAGACCTGCTGTGTTTGCTGTATTTGTGCTCGTGTTCCCATATTTTAGCCCATAGCTTGTTCAGTGCAACATTATGAATCCTAATAACGGACCCAGTTCTTTTTTGAATGCTGTTCTGTGGTAAAAACCAGAGAGTTATGGTAAATGGTAAATGGCCTGTACTTGTAAAGCGCTTTTCTAGTCTTCTGACCACTCAAAGCACTTTAACACTACATGACATCATTCACCCATTCACACCCATTCACACACTGATGACATCATTCACCCATTCACACCCATTCATACACTGATGACATCATTCACCCATTCACACCCATTCACACACTGATGACATCATTCACCCATTCACACCCATTCACACACTGATGACAGGAGAACCACACACAGTGACACCTGCCATCAGTAGCTAACATCCACACACTGTAGTCGCAGCTACAGGAGCCATGTTGGTTAAGTGTCTTGCCCAAGGACACAACGACATGCGGGTTAGCCGGGCCTGGGATCGAACCGACAACCCTCTGATTGGAGGACGACCTGCTCCCCACTCACCCACAGTCGCCCACAAGTGTTGAAATACAAGTTTTTGAATGATAGCGATGCATATAAAGTGTGAAGTGTTTTTTTCTGTGGACCGATTTCTGAACTCACCGCTGTGCTTCTTCATTTGAAGGTGGCGCCGGACTTCTTTGAGTATTTCCGAGCCCTGTACCCGATCTTGCGAGCTGACCCCACCCTGTGGTGTGTTTCTGCGTGGAACGATAACGGCAGAGACGCCCTGGTGGATCCATCCAAAGCTGAGCTCCTCTACAGAACAGACTTCTTCCCCGGGCTGGGCTGGATGCTGCTGAAGGAGATGTGGAATGAACTCGAGCCCAAATGGCCCTCGGCCTTCTGGGACGACTGGATGCGCCAACCAGAACAACGCAAGGACCGCTCCTGCATCCGACCCGAAATCTCCCGGACGATCACCTTCGGTCGGAAAGGCGTCAGTTTAGGTCAATTCTTTGACCAGTACCTTCGCTATATTAAGCTCAACACTGAATTTGTGCCTTTTACCAAACAAGATTTGTCTTATTTGTTGAAAGAGAAGTATGATGAAAACTTTAAAAAAGAGATTTACGGCACCCATCTGGTGAGGATTGAGGATCTGCAACAAGGGGGCAGTTTAAGAGGCGCTGCCCCGTACAGGGTGCAGTACTCCACCCGGGACAGTTTCAAAGTCTTTGCTCGAAATCTAGGGGTGATGGATGACTTGAAATCTGGAGTTCCTCGTACAGGTTACAGAGGCGTAGTGAATTTCCTGTACCGGGGTCAAAGGGTGTTCTTGGCTCCACCAGAGGGCTGGACGAAGTATGACGTCAGCTGGAGCTGAGGGGACGTTGCAGACTCTAATGTGAATGGTGTTAAAGAAGGGAGAGACACACCTCTCAGACCAAAGAAGATCAGCAGACACACAAAGGACCTAAAGCAGCGCCGATGGGCCGGGATGGACACCAAGTGTTGAGCCAGACTTAGTTGTTACGAAATGCTTATTCAGGAGTTAAAGGTTTAAGCGCAAGGCGATTCCAACAGAAATACAGCTACTGGCAATGGGCCTTGTTTTGTGGGGCCATTCGTTCCTGTGACTTACTGGCCAAATGCAGTGTTAACGTCACACGCACCAGTCGATTGGGTTAGCTAGTAGGAAACAGCTGATGTGTTTGTCATGTTAAAATACAACTGAGGCCAAACGCATCTCGAGAACTGGTTCATCTTTTTACTGTCAGCAATTCAATTCATGTTGAAATTAATTCAGCTCTTCAGATGTTACTTTTCAATTCTATAGCTAATCACAGGCAGTTTGAGCAAAATGAGAAGCTTGTCTTAACAATTCATAGGGAATACAAAAGCCTACCTAGTTTTGAACATAGTCACCGTATGAACTCAGCTGGTGGTTAACATTAAACACATTATTTCAGTTTGGGCTGAAACGGAAGAGCAAACGCCGCTAGAACAAGCGTCCAGAAAGCAGGACGTGCACATGAAGCGAGGCATATTCTTCCCAGATTACAGTTCCAACAAACTTCAGGAGACCTTCTAGAATCCCTGTCCACCAATGAGCAGGGAGGACATGACATGCTGCGCATTGCCTGTCAAAGCTTCCAGAAGATGACCTTCAATCCGCTGACTTGGCTTTCCGTTATCGTCTAAACACTAACTGTGAGCACATACGCCGCCTTCATCAGTTCAAACATCACTAGGTTTTCAAGCTTAGGAAATAATGAGGGAGGTGCCAGAAAGTAAAAACACCAAAAACCTATGAGGCTTTCAGGGCGTAGCAGATGTTTCTAGGTGCTGCTGAGCAGCGGGAGGACGTCCGTGATCTCAGTGGGGAGGCCGACACATGCTGCACTCGTTGGGTGGACCTGACACTGGTGTGCGCTTTGTTAGAAGCATACTGAGGCCTTTACAGTGGACGTTCCCTCTAACATTTCTGAGCTTAAACTCATCAGTGTGACGGTCGAAGATAATTTGCTTCTATCCGAGGGTTTCTAGAAGGAAATGGTAAATATCAAGGGTTGAACTTTAATGGTAATGCTATTTTGAAATCATTTATTGTCTTGAACTTAAAGTTCAACAAGTTTATCGTCTAAAGTGCTGACTGCTTGTGATCCTCCCGAAGCCCTGATACAAGTAACATGTCATGGTGTCAGCTTGGGTTTGTTGAAGAACCACTGATTGTTCCACCAGTAAGAAAGCTGTGCAGTGGCTGGAGTGGTTATCACTGTACTGTATTTAGCTGTAGGAGATTATCCACGGTTCGTTTGATTCTCATTTCTATGGTGATGTGTAAACCCACTGTCTGGTGTTTATAACTTCAATACTATAAATAAAATCAACTATTTTAATTGTCCGTGTGCGCATGCACGTCATGAGAACGGCTTGGAATACTTTGTCTGTTGGTTACTGTATCAGTAAGTGTCTTATTTAGGGCTGTCTATAGATTAAAAAACATTACTCGCACATTTTGAAATTCATTAATCTCGATTAATGAATGTTGTTACGATGTTTTTAATAAATGTTGTTTTTCTTCTAGAGACTAAATCTTAAAAATAATGAGTAATCACTTTAGAAAGCGTGTATTTTACAATTGTTCTATTGTTAATGTTTTAAACACAACTCCACACGTTTGATCATCTTGGAGGCAGAATTCCACCGGGGGGAACGTTGAACTAGCGACTTCCTGTTGTCCTCGTGCACTTTGCTCTCCATCATTTAACCGCTGTGTTTGAGTCCAACAATCTCCCCACATCTAGCAGGACGTTTTCAGACCACGTCTTGTAGGGGCACAGTGGGGGTCCTCTGCCGACTGAGCCGCGCAGGGTAACGTTAGATGTTGAGGTGGAAGTAAGCTAGCTTAGCATAGCATAGCTTTAACTGGTCCGTTTGCCACGTGGAGTAATTCCTCTGCATAGTTCTCCGCTCTGTTTTACTTCCAATGCAAAACGCAGCCAGCAGCCGCTTCCTTTCCGGGGTCAACTTCTGCTTTACTTCCGGAAGTAAACCAACGTACGTTAACTGCGCATTAATGTCGGCCGCATTAATCACAGATTAATGCGTTTCTGTTGACAGCCCCAGTCTTACTTGTTCTTTTAAACGACAAAATTAAACCCTCACTCAAGGTTTGAGCTTTTTTCAAACTCAACTGTGGATCCGTTCTTCGGAGAGGACATCAATCAAGACAGTCAGAAAAACAGCAGCAAAGTAAATGTCAATTCATTTATTTTGCAGGGACAGTTCACAACAATCAACAGTTGTACTGTAAGTGAGCCAGAGAGGCTAATTTTCATCTGAGGCCAAATAAGGCAGCCTAAAATAAAACCAACAAACAGCATAAGAAAAGTGTACGACAATAGAGCAGACATGACATAGCAGAACAAACCCACCTTCAGTACAAGCACATACAGCGGGTACGGAAAGTATCCAGACCCCTCTACATTTTCACTGTTTCATTTTATTTCTCATTAATGTACACTCGTCACCCCATCTTCACAGAAAAAAACTGAAATGTAGAAATGTATTAAAAAAGAAATATGAAAGATATGAAATGGTCATAAGTATTAAGCAAATTTTGATTTTACAACAGCAAATTTCACCAAAAAGCGACAAGTACCTGGGGAAGTGTGGGAACAGGACACAATCAGACTGGTGACACATGAAGGGCAAGGAACCTGAAACGAGCGCAGAGTTCATTTCCAAAATAAAACAGGAAGTCACAAAAACCAACATGGAGACGGGATAAAAACTCAACTTGACATACAGGTGTGACATTATCCCCCACCCAAGGCCGAATACCAGGCGGCCTTGGAATAAAAGCCCTGAATGAGATCCGGGTCTACGGTGAGGCTAGGAGAGACGCATTGGTTTTCCTCTGGGCCGTATCCCCCCCCAGTCCACGAGGAACTGCCTGCCCCGGCCCCGCTTACGCACTGCCAATAGTGTCTTCACCGTGTAGACGGGCCCCCGTCGATCATTCCAGGGGGTGGGGGTGGCTTGGGGTTCGGCATCATTGCGCTTTCCTTGACTGGCTTGATCTTGCTAACATGAAACGCAAGGTGTACCCTGAGGGACCGGGGCAGGCGCACCGCTGCTGGGTTCATTATCCTTGAGATGGGGAACGGGCCGACAAAGCGTGGAGCCAGCTTTCGTGATTCAACCTGTAAGGGTCGTTCCTTGGCCGGGGTGATATACAGGTGCTGGCCTCCTCCTGCGGTCTGCTGCTCTTTGAACTCTGTCCCCTGTCGGATTAGTGTCTGGCGTGCTGCTGCCCAGATGACAATATAAACAGTGGTGAAAGCTTTCAGCTTTTGCCCAATGTGAATCTGTAGATTCACGGCATCGCTGGTTTTTGCATGCTGCCCCGATTTTTTATGGCGTACGGCCCTGGCTGACTGGGTATGTAATGTCGGAAGGGGCATTTTCCTCGTAAAAGGATAAGACGTTCATCCACTGTCACCTGTGGCCCTGGGTTTAACATCAGTGGAAGGAGCTGCACCCACCTGTTTCAGACATCCCTCATGCGGGCAAGCTTATCAGATCTTGCTCTGGTATCTCTGTGGCAACCCCGGGTGAGGGAGGCCAGCTCCCTGCATAAAATAAGCGTCTCAGAGGCCGGAAGTCCAAAACAAAAAGGGTCCTTTTAATAATAAGGCCAAAATAAAGTAGAAGTAGGGCTCCAGCGCTGGGCTAGTGACGCCGGTCTATTCCGCGCCTCCTTCGTCCTGTGAGGGGGAGAGCAGAGAAGAGGGGTGAGTCTTCTGTCCTCCCCTCGAGTCGGTCTCCCTCCCTACATGTATCCTCCACCTGCTTACCTGATCGCTCGCAGGTGTGACCAATGCCACGTCCCCAGTGGCTGCAGCACCTGCACAGGATAATTATTACCTCCCCCAATCAGAGCCTGGAGATCTGCCTCCTGTGCTCGTTCCCTCCCCCTGGTCCACCACACTCTGTTGTCAAATCTGATAACTCTTGATATCATGTGAAAGTGACAGTGGCCTCATTGAAAATAGCAAAAGAAACACAATTCATTGCCTACGACAAGTGAAAACCCCATGTTGCACATGGATCCTCTATTCTTCATCATGTACGGCAAAAAGCACAGCTCTGTTGTGCTCTGCACGTAAATATCTTATGCCAGAAATCATCGACGTTATGTATTAAACATGGACTAATTCAAATGGAGATATTACCGGGCATTTGCACTGCTGACGTCACTATGAAATGCTACGCTGTTAGCCTAATCCCCTGCAACGTCAAAATGACGGCAGCAGTGTCACAGATTCGAGGAAACATACATTCTACATGTCACGCACGTTGTTCCACGTCACGTGCAAAAAACTGTTTGATTCCCAAACACTGATTATAGGGACCTTGGGGCCTAATAGAAACGGTACCCTACGCCCCCTAGTGGTAGGAGGTTAACAAACAACAACAATAATACATACAATTACAGACCTTTTTGATTATCAACTTTTATCTATGGATTGTCGAGAGGATAGCATGATATGCAAAATTGATAATGTTGTTATATGACTTTTTAAGGACAAGAACTGTTAAGGGTTTAGGATAAGAAAAGGGGGCACATAAATCCAAAATGTTTTAATCTTATGAGTAGGACCAAAAGTAAAAGTAAAAATAATATCAGCCATATTATGGAGTACACATAAAAAGAGATGCTCTGTAGATTTACCCAGACTTAACCTAGGGAGCACATCTCCGAAAAGGGTCAGGTGGGACTGAATTATCCCCCTCGCGTTCCCCGAAAACGATCATTTGTGGGGTTTCGGCTTTTCTTTCGGCGCCACGAGAGAAACAGGCAGCACCGGAGCGCCCTGTGACGTCACAGGAGGCGACTGTCAGTAGTTGCAGGACCAGCAGTGAGCCCGGGCTTTAACCAAACTCACCGCTACGTCAGATACTCTCAGCGCAAGACTGCGTGTTGTGTGTTGGTACCAACGCCACACAACGTGCGCACATTAAAGTGAGTAAAGGTGAGTAAAGTCAACCAGCTTGTGTTCTTCCCACGTGTGACGCATGTTGCATTTAGTGCTTTAAATTCTTCACGTGACCCGCTAGCCAGTGTCGGTATTATGATGTGATTTTGAAGGCAAGTCGTTAAATCTTGACTTTAAAAGCAAGACACGAAGTCGTGAGTGCTGTACATCTATCAATGCACGTTGCTGTTACAAGGACTGCGTTAACTAACGTGACTTCTAATGTCTACAATGCCACCAGCTGCGCGTCACCGACCCCACGAACACGCGGACGCTCGTGGCGATGGCGTATTTTAGTGATGATCCCAATTTCTGCTCTCAATGTGGGAATGTGCTGCCTCTTCCTGGGATACAAGACGTCGTCCGCTGCCCCCGCTGCTCCTTCTGCATCCCGGGAACAGGTAGGGCTGCGCCCCCCCCCTGAGCCCCCCCCCCTGAGCCCCCCGTGCCCCCCCGTCACCTCCTCTAGACCCTCTCAAGGAGACGTCAGCACAGGAGCCACGTTGACACCTTCACAGTAACCTGGAATCCATCCCTGAAACCCTTTCTTCCTCCGTATTGGTCGAACCAGCGTCTGGCTGATGTGCCTCTACTGACTGACTGTAGAATGAATCCTCTTCACATGTGTGCTTTCATTGCTGGCCCGTACACCACGTGTTAATACCCTACACGCATGTATTGGATCACCTAGAGTTCTCGGGCCGGGAGATCCGCTCCACTGTGGTGTTGAACCCAGAGGAGCAGTCGTCGATGGCGCTGAAGGACGAGGAGGACGCTGAACTGAAGGGACCAGTGGTGAGAGGCGCTGCTCGCTGTGTGGCCTCGCTGTGTGCGACTGTTCGCCGTATTAATGAAGCTCCCTGCTGCGTGTAGATTGACAGGCGCTGCGCTCGTTGCAATAAAGAGGGAATGGTTTACCACACCAGGCAGATGAGGTCTGCAGACGAAGGACAGACGGTCTTCTTCACCTGTATACACTGCAGGTAATCCTTATGGTGGCATTTTCTATGTTCATTTGAATGTCCAGTTCTGTCTGATCTCTTGCTGATCATTTTGGTTTGGGTGTTACAGGTATCAAGACAAGGAAGATTCCTGAGAAGAAGTCAAACTTGTGCCCTCATGTCTACTGGTGTCACTAGGTTGGATGCTGCAACAATCTTGCCCTGGGCTCCTCTGGGTTCATCTAGCGATGCCGCTGAGCTTCTTACCTCCTGTTCTCTGATTCCTGGACTTCACTCCTTGAATAACTATAAATAAATCATGTTCCCCCAGTGAGAGCTGAGCGGGTGAAACATCCATGTTGTTATTACCGTACGTGTTTGGGCCCAATCGGTGATCTCGGGGACCCTCAGAAGGCCCTAGTTTAACAGCTCGAGGGTTCCGCCAAGGTTGAACCGAGCGGCCTCTGAAATGGGACGGTCTGTCCTCGGGGGGGACTTCCTGCTTACGTCATCAGCTTTACCGCTTCTGCTCTGAGCTGAACTATAAAAGCCTTAAAACACGAAAAACCAAAGTACAGATAAGAAACATGAACTTATTTCATTTAATTAACGTTATAAGTTGTGAATTTAAAAACACGACATGGTTACCAACGTCACGTAATAGTGATTTCATAAACTAAGATATGTTATATAATATATCATTAATAATCGGTAGATATTAGAGGGAATTCTATTACTTATTACATATATTACCATTTATTTAAAAGTAAATCACCCTCCTCTGTCCTGAATAAATTAAATCCTCGTCGGGCCGCACTGCATGCTGGGATATGATGGGCCGCAAAGGACCGATCCGGTGTGTCCTCCAAACCGGCTCCTGGAGGACTGCGTCCCTCGAGCGCGTTCGGAGGAGCTGACCGATTGGGACAGGCGAGGATAAGTGACGTATGCGGTGGACAAACGCGTCCTTAAGGACGCAGCCAGTGTTTGTGAAAATGTCCAAGGCACCGAACTGTTGCAGTATTACAAGTTTCCTGCTTTTATGATGCGTTCAGGAGACACACAGGAGACACACAGGAGACCCTCCGGGGGTCTGTCATCGACTGCACTTAGTATTCAACGTCACAAATTCGCAGCGTGTCACCCTACTCGCATGTGCGTTCTAGTCGTTTTATTTCTATGGACTGATTCATGAACCTGTCCAGCAGGAGGCGCTGCGGAGCCCTTTAACCTGCGTTGAAAACAGCTGAAGAAGAACGTGACCAATGAGGACGCTTCAAGTCACGTGACCTGAAACCATGGCTCCAAGAAAGCGAAGTGCAGCGTGACAACGATGCGATTCCTTTGTGCTTTGAAACCGCGGTTCTGTCTGGACTACAATGTGCTTACAAGCCGATAGCGGTTCCGTTGGGTTCGGTTGTGTCGTACATTTAACACAGTAGGCCGTTAGAGCACCGGATCACTAATACAAGGTACGTGTCGTCAATAAGAACGCAAGCCTCCGGTCTGTTATTCCGTCACTATGACGAAACGTTAGGCTGTCACGTGGATGAACGACGTCACTAATGGTGACATTCTGCTTCATTTGCTAGATAATGAAGCTTCGGGTCCAGTTGCAGTGTAAGAACCTGCACGAGTACCTGAGAGAGCTGAGTCCGGACGTTTTGGATCGGCTGTACAACCACCCGGCCACGTGTCTGGCTGTGTACAGGTGCGCGCAGGTGAAACGCTGTCCCGCGTCTCTGGCCGGGTGTCCTTTGACCCAGTGTCTGTGTCTCACAGGGAACTGCCCCCTCTGGCCAAGAACTACGTGATGCGCATGCTGTTCCTGGACCAGCCGCTGCCCCAAGCGGCTCTGGCGCTGTGGGTCAAAGTAGACAGTCAGAAGTAAGTCTTCCAACAGCACAGCACTGCGCGTGCGCCGCTCCGCCGGCTTCTGCTCTGCGCCACTGCACCACGGAACAGAAACGGTCCAGTACCTGTAATTCAAGGCCAGCGATCTTGTTTCAGACAAAACAAATAACACACACACACACACACCAGAGAGCGGCTCAGCCCAGTTTCCAAGGAGGCACCTTACCGATCAGAACCTGCCGTCTGTACATAATTCTACGCCAACACATCTGATCCTGGTTTATACAATTAAATCGATTTCTCCTCCTCGTAGATGGCAGCAGATTTCTGTCAAGAATGTCACGTTTGCCGGTGCCATTTGCTGAAAAGCAGCCCCACACCTCCAAACCTCACTGTCAGGCTGATGTGTGTATTATGGCCAAACAGTTCAACTTTGCTCTCATCTGACCACACTACATTCTCCCAGTATTTCACTGGCTTTTCCAAATGTTGTGCAGCAAACTTTAAACCAGCTTCAACATGCTTTTTTTCAGCAGTGGAGTCTTGCGTGGTGAGCGTGCATACAGAGTGCATTACTAGCTGAGACAACCGTCTGCTAATCAGGGGCCTCATTTATAAACGTTGGCGTACGCCGCTCTCTACGCAATAATTGGTATTTATTAAAAGCAAACTTGACGGAAAAATGTGCTGTCCTTCACGCAAGCTCGGACCCATGCGTACGCACAAAAACGGGTGAAATGAGAACCGTCGGCAAACGCAAGAAACACGCAAACGTGTGTGAAAGTGTGTAAAACTAGACTGTTGTAAAAGAAATGCCAATACTGCCTCATAAATAACACAAACACCCGATTGATCTGCAGCGTAAAACAAACAAATACAAATTAACACATTTTCCAAAAGAAAAGTGAAATATGTTCTGCAATAATATCGGCATGTTATTAAATTCATCCTCCACACACAGCTGTTGCTTGTCAGATGAGAGTCTCATCCCAACCAGCAGATAACTTCAAACCACTTGATGCGGGCTGTCCCATAGTGCTGAAGTGTCCCCACCAGAGGACCATGGAGCCCCTCAGTGGGACTCACTGTAGCTTCCTTGTCTGTGGTGTCTCCCTGCAGGGACCACGAGGAATGCGTGTCGGTGTTGGCGGGACTCCGCCTGTGGCACAGTCAGCAGCTGCAGGGAGGTCTGCAGGGATACATCCTAAACCCAGTGTTCAAAGACAACCTGAGGATCGCTCTGCTGGGCGGGTAGGTGCTCCTTGGTGCATGTGGCTCAGATGTACTAGAGGTTCACATCCTCAATGTGGTTCCAGTTATAGCATCCAACATGTCAGTGGCACCCCCCCGCTAGTTCAGTGTAACAGGGAGGGCTGTCGCCACACAGGGGCAAAGCGTGGGCAGACGAGGGCAGCACTCTGGGTCCTGACCGCCATGCGCGGGACATTGAGAGCCTGGACCGCTACGCCATGGAGCGCTGGGAGGTCATCCTGCATTTCATGGTGGGCTCTCCGTGTGCTGCTGTCAGTCAGGATCTGGCTCAGCTGCTGGTCCAAGCAGGCCTCATGAAAAGGTACACACGAGTTCCTCTCTGCCTCACTTTGTCTTTGTCATCTTACTGTTTCTGTTCAACTTAACTATAAATGTTAATGATGCCGTAGAACTTCATGGTTCAACGCTTCCTTCTCTCTCCTGCCACTCTAGCTTGTGTGTGTTTTGGAAAGCGCTCCACCCTGTGCCCATGATGCACCACTCACCTCTCCATGCAAACCCAGAACAGAGGGAATACATTGTGGATGTGATCATTTCTCTGCAGCTTTAATATCAAAGGCCGTTCCACATGTGATAATGAGCAGAAACAGTCAGCCAAAGGGCCTGCAATGACAAACCCATCTGACGAGTACATTACATTTAGCATTCCGCCAAGAGGGAAGGGACCCTCACAGCTAGAATGAAGTGGCATCCCGAGTGCTACCTGAAGTCTGCAGAGGGGGGGTTAGATGTCTCGCCTTTCTGCATCCTGATTGTAATTCCTCATTCCACCACTTATGTAGAACGAATGACTGATTAAAGTCTGAAGTACACGTTAAATAAGGGTTGTGTTAGTGCCACAGAAATGCATGTGAAGCCCACATGTCTCATGCTGTCCCCCTTGTTGCCCCGTCAGTGAAGCAGGAGAGGCGCCCTACATCACATCCGCTGGTTTCCAGTTCCTCCTGCTGGACACCGCCTCTCAGCTGTGGTACTTCACCCTGCAGTACCTCAAAACCGCTCAGGTATCTGGATCACCTGACTAACCAACGGCTGGGCAAGAAAACACAAACCTCAAGATGTCTGATAGCGTTCTTCTGTTCCTTTGTGTAGCCAGCTGTGTGTTTACTGGGACACTTTGATACTTGGTTCATTGGTATAGTAAGCAAACAAAGTCCAACCCGTCTTATCCCGGGTTACACCCTGAATCTTCTCTGCTGCTTTGGATTTGATCCAGGAGGCCAATATACTCACCATGGATGTTCTGCCTCTTGTACGTGTTGCACAGACGCTACTCAGGCCGACTAATGAGAGACGCGGACCCATTTGATGTAACGTAACACTGTAACTGCTTCACTTTCTGTTGATGGAGTTCACACTTAAATTCTGTCCAGCTCCAACAGGCTGCAGCCTTAATGGTGAATGGAGGACATCATCTAGTCTAACTCATGTAAAGGTAGTCAGTTGTTGGCTGTTCATAACTGATGGCTGTAAATGAAGGTGGATGGACCTTTTTCAAGTTCTGATGGACACGGACATGAGCTGCTGAAGACTCTTGATCACACTGGTCCATTTGTAGGATTACTACCTGTAGGACATGAGTGAATCAGTGGTGTGGTGAACCTACCGGCTTCTAATATCAGGCAATGCTGGAATTCACTTATTTCATCAGCTGTCCACTGATCTATACTTCATGCCTTGTCTCTTGCAGACTAGAGGGATGGACCTGGTAGAGATCTTGTCCTTCTTGTTCCAGCTCAGCTTCTCTACTCTCGGCAGAGTGAGTGTGCTGCAAAGCAACATGACGAGAGAATTCCTGCTTCCTTTGTTGTTCTTTGTTGTCGTTGACCAACATGTTGTTGCTTGTGGGCCTCAGGATTACTCCGTGGAGGGCATGAGTGAGTCATTGCTCACTTTCCTGCAGCACCTGCGAGAATTTGGACTCGTCTTCCAGAGGAAGGTGAGTTCCTTGGAACGGGAGGGAGGATCCAATAACTCCACATCTCCTTCACATGATGCTCACAGGGCAGCCGGGTCACTGAAAGCAAAACCATCACGGCACTGATGAACGAGGGTCATCTTGTGACATCTACTAAAAGTTGCTGATCTTTTATGAAAATGTTTAATGAAATTAGTTTCAATATACTGCTTCCAGTAGGGACGGATCGGTATGTTACTTGTTGAAATGCTGCTTCAACTTCTTCATATTCTATTTCTTCTGTCGCACCGTTTAGCTATTAAAAGCCTTACAGGTGTTTCCAGCCATGACTTTTCTCCCTCTACCTGTTGGAAAATACTACTCAACACGACATTTACCCGACTCAAAGGATTCTTCCTTCGGCTTCAGGTTACAAACATCTGCCCCCCTCCTTGGGGGTGGGGGGGGCAGCATCAGCTCCCACTGCTCACCTCCACATCAAAGGGAGAGATAGCATTGTCATGTTGTTTCCACTGACGCCACACAGCATGGGGACTGGCATGCTGCAGTGGACAGAAGCTTAGAATCTGGTTAAGAAAATATTATTTTAATTAATTATTATTATAAAATAGTATTCCCACACATCCTCTGTCCCGAAACCCACCATCAGCACAGGAAAACTCCCCGAAAAACCCTTCATGGGGAAAAAAGGGAAGAAACCTTAGGGAGAACGTCAGGGGAGGATCCCACTCCCGGGATGGACAGACTACAATGGATGCCATGTGTACAGAATGAACAATGTATAATACATGCAATTCCTATGATAGAAATGATTCAAGTAACTGTGAGTAGTAAGCCAGACGCACAGCAGGACCACTGCAGGGACAACCACCGTCACATAGAACCACCATCAGATAGAACCACCATCAGATAGAACCACCGTCACATAGAACCACCGTCAGATAGAACCACCGTCACATAGAACCACCGTCACATAGAACCACCGTCACATAGAACCACCGTCACATAGAACCACCGTCACATAGAACCACCGTCACATAGAACCACCGTCACATAGAACCACCGTCACATAGAACCACCGTCACATAGAACCACCGTCACATAGAACCACCGTCACATAGAACCCCCGTCACATAGAGCCACCGTCAGATAGAACCCCCGTCACATAGAGCCACCGTCAGATAGAGCCACCGTCAGATAGAGCCACCGTCACATAGAACCCCCGTCACATAGAACCACCGTCACATAGAGCCACCGTCACATAGAGCCACCGTCACATAGAACCACCGTCACATAGAACCCCCGTCACATAGAACCCCCGTCACATAGAACCACCGTCACATAGAACCACCATCACATAGAACCACCATCCACAGAAGCCTGTGGGGAGGGAGAGCACAGAGACTTTAGGAGAGGGTGATGTTGGTTTATGAGTGCAGTAATATGATTAATGTCTAAAATAATAATAATGATGATGATGATGGCAGCAGCAGGCGTCAGCATGGCCACGGCAGGTGTCAGGACCAGGGTCCAGAAGGAACCATGATCTACGGAGACCTGATAGGGGAGAAAACACAAAAAACTCCCGGAAAGAAGCTGAATTAGTCATGTGCATTAATAAAACGTGAATTATTGTAGAACGAGAGCGTGAGAGGAGCTTGTGTGTCCTTCATGCCTCATTTGAACTAATGATTGACAATTCATAACGGTCGTGGATCCAACAGACTTACACATTTGGCCTCAGCCCCCCGAGAACCGAGGAGTCCAACTCTCGTCCCATAAGGACCAACTCCAATGTGGTGACCGAGAAAGCAGAAGGTACAAGTGTTTCAAACTGCTGGTGGAGTCGTATTTGTTGCCGGTAACCCCAGGGTTGGCGGTTCAAAATCACGACACCCTAACTGCTGCCCGGGGGCCTTTACTCCCACTTCTCTCTCTGATTCCCTGTACGTATTCTGCTATTGATAGTAATACTATTACTACAAGCCACATAGCCATTTGTTTGAATTCATTTTGGTTTTTCTCATTTCTGTATTTCTGTATTCTGTATTCGGCAATTTTTAAAATGTAATTTCAGCTTCTGGCATTTTCTAGTATTCTGTAATTCTTCTGCTTCTTGTCAACAGAGGAAGTCAAGGCGGTACTACCCCACCAGACTAGCCATAACCCTGGCTGCAGGAGTCACCACCTCCTCCTCATCCTCCATCTCTGTAGCTGGAGATGCAGGCTTCATCGTGGTAGAAACCAATTATCGTATCTACGCCTACACCGGTACGTATGAACTGTGGAAGCTTTCAGTGCTGCCTGCCAACACTCAGAAGTCCCTGCTGAGTGAGAAGACCGTGGCACCACATTGATCGGATTTCGGCCGCCCAGCTGGTTGTGTTTACCAAAATATTTGATACCTGATGTAAAATACAAATAGTATGTTCACTCAATACGAAGCCAGGGTCTCTCTGGCCTCTTGGTTCTGGAGTGAGGAAGTCAATAGCTTAGCATACTTAGCATAGACTGGATACAGGGGGAAACTGGTATCGTGGCTCCGCCCAGTGTTCATAAAACATACCAACACATCTAAAGCTTTTCACAATATTCATTCAACTCATGTATGTCACTATATGTCCGAGTCCGATATGTCCGAGACTGACCCGTTCCCCCACAGACTCCGAACTTCAGATCGCCCTGGTGGCCCTCTTCAGTGAAATGCTTTATCGCTTCCCCAACGTAGTGGTGGCGCATGTAACCAGGGAGTCCGTGCAACAGGCCATTGCCAACGGCATCACAGCACAACAGGTACTCTGCTACTGCACACAATGGAGGATTGTACCATTAATCCTTTATTTCTTCACTTCTCTTACGTAACAGGAGAATATCCAGAATATTGTCCAGCTGCCCACTATTCTCAATACTTCTTTTCATTACTCCCTGTTTATGTGTTGCTATTGGGAGTTGGAAGTAAACTCCTTAAAGGCTTGAATCAGAATGAAAATTCTGAAGGACACATTGATTTACTGAAGGCCGGGAAGACCTGCTAGTTCTGTTAAATTCCTCCTGTGTAAGTGACAGCTAGCACTCCTGCGTTATTACACATAACCCGTGGAATGTCATTCTAATGGCCGGTTGTTGAGCCCCGGTACCCCCCCCCCCCCTTTTCCCCACTGCAAGATGACAAAGAACAGCACGGAGAACAGTCAAGTCTGACTAGATACACAACCCAAGGCAATGAGTGGAGAGTTGCATATTTGATCCTCTTTACTCCTGTTATATTCATGTGCACTGTATGCACTGAGCTTTTCTTGCAGTTTATCCAGACATGTAAAAACATACCTCTGCAGGTGACGGTATCAGAAAGTAATGTGATTAACAGAGAAGATGTTGGGCAAAGGGAGATCAGTCTGAATATTTGATGTCCCTTTCCTCCTGCAGATTATCCACTTCCTGAGGACCAGAGCTCACCCTGTCATGCTCAAACAGGTACATCCTACACTTCCCATCTGCTCACACTTCATTCTACGGTTTGACCCTCCTTCTCTGTGCTTCAGACTCCAGTGCTGCCTCCAACTATAACAGACCAGATCCAGCTGTGGGAGCTAGAGAGAGATCGACTGCAGTTCACAGAGGGTATGTTTATTTCAATGGGGGTCGACCCTGCTCAGCTGCTGTGACTGGACGACAGGCTGTTTACCTGTAATCAATGTAGTATCAGGCACAGTTCCTCAGCACTAATTCTAAGTAGTGAAGATCAGCACGACAACTGAGCCGTGGGACAAAGATGCTTTTCTTCTATTTCGGCTTTGATAAAAATACCAAAACATTTTGTTGTACATGTTTTATAGCCACAGCTTTTGAGGTTTGTCATCTGTTAATTGATGGAGAAGTGAATGCGATAGCCAGGAGTCTGAGAGGCAGTAATCCAGAGGAGTGCTAGCGACGTGTTGACCTGTATGATGTTGTCTCCTTCAGGAGTGCTCTATAACCAGTTCCTCTCCCAGGCTGACTTCGAGGTGCTCCGAGACAGAGCTCAGGTTGGATTTTATTCCCCATCTGTTAATATCTTGTATTAAGTTGAATGTAAATGTGGATCTATTAATTCAGGAATACTACTGTACACAACAGGAAGCAAACAGCCACTATAAAGATATACTGATTTGTGTTCCCATATGTTTGTCTACTTACTAAGGTAAATCTTCGAGGAGCACTGTGCTTCATTACATTGTGCTCACCAGTTTGTCATTGCTATGTAAAGGAATGTGCCGTAGATCTGACATGGTAGAACACTCTATCAGAACCCCAGCACATCTCTGACCAAGGGACAAGGCGCGCTTCGATGTGAAGTCCCAGTAACAGAGGACCTTTGCTCCTCATACTGTGTGTCTAATGGAGCCATTGTGGTGCAGGGTCTGGGCTGTCTGGTGTGGCAGGACGTAGCTCACAGAGTGATGGTGGTGTCACCGCACGGACACAGTGAGGTCAAGAGGTTCTGGAAACGGCAGAAGACTCCACACACCTAACTACACTTACTCCCATGATGTCAGGATTGTCTTGCTGCAACAATGGTTCCTTCCTGTCAGTGCTGTATGAAATCTTTTTTTGTTTCATAAAATAAATTCCATGTAATCTGGATTAAATACTTATAAAAAGAAATCTACATATCTGCTCATTCCTCTTTCTAATAGAAAAAAAATCAAGTACTGTAAATTGCAGATGAAATTGTGGGTTATAACACCTGCAATAGGTCTGAGCGGATGAAGTAAAAGAGAGATGGGAGAAAAGAGTCGGGGCACCAGGTATATGAAAGACATTTTCGCCCTGGAGCACTGCAGCATTCCTCAAATACTTCAGCTGAATATGACACATGGCATAGCTGCATAATTGTTATACAGCTGGGTCTTATTCGTGCCTTCAATCTAGCACTGACAACTACCGTATCTCTCCAATTTAAAGGTTGGAAACATTTTGGTTTCATGATCACGTGCGAGTGTGCTTGGATGTGAAAAATATCACTGTGTTGATGTATCTGTGTACATTTTATATATATATATATATATATATTTTATACATTTTGTATTGGACAAAGAAAAATAACAGATTTGCCTGAAAAGAAAGTACTTGCATGGGCTGTATTCCTGGAAACCATGAAAGATCTTGGCCAAAACTCCTATATGATAGCCCAGTGTGTGAACTATATCTGTAAACGTTGTACTTTGAGGGAAGCAGAACAAATCTAAAAATACTTTAGTGGAGGCCTCACAAGAGTCATGACAGAGGAGTGATGTATATTCTTTCCACAGCTCAGTGAATCATGAGCCGATTTTCAAGTCAAGACCCTTGTTGTAATTGTCAGAACCAAAGTGACTAGAGAAAAGGTGTAGTGAAATCTGATCCCCACATGGAAATTTCAGCTGAGCTTTATTACTTGAAATATTCAATACATTTTTTCATTGAAAAAGTCAAAGGTAAGGAGCACTTATGAATGAAAAGCCAGAAGGTGATTTCAGTGCTTCCAGTGCTCAACCTAAGATTTTTGCATGCCCCATTTTCGTACTTGTTTGCATCTTGGACTGATCTCCCGGTTTTGACCTTGCTATTAAAATCAAAGAGGAAAGTTTAAAGCTTTATCTTAAAAGAGCTGACCGAATCTGCCCCCTGGACTAAAAGTGGAAGCTGGTTCCACAAAAGTGGCGCTTGATAACTGAAAGCTCTCGCTCCCATCCTACTTTTTAAAACCCTAGAAACAACAAGTAACGCAGAGCAATTCCATCCATAAAAACTGTCACGTAACAGCTGGCTTCGAAGGCGTTCTGGGCCTATCAAGATAACTTCTTATTTATTTACATATAGAGGGTAAATAAAATCGGTCCAAGTACAGAACCTTGTGGGACTCCGTGACCAACATTGGTGGCTTTGAGGATTCACCGTTTACAAGCACAAACTGGGATCGATCCGATAAGTAGGATTTAAACCAGCGGAGTGCAGTTCCTTTGATACTGTTGTGTTCAAAAATGAAGAAACGCCGGACGGACAGAGGTCATCGCTGATCAAAATGTTAAATCAAATGTATTTAATAAAAGAGATGGTGTTGTGGTAAAAAGAACATCTCAGCTGAGGAGCCGCTGGTCTCAGCAAACAAAAGGCCCCAGGTCAGTCCTTTGACCATCCCTAGTGCCCGTGTAGTGGCTAAAGTTCCCTTCTTGCGTTCGGCAGTTGCTTCTTCAGTTCTTCATTCATTTAACCACTCCAAAACTGTCACACTCACCTGCCAGCTCGATCTTCCACACCTGCCCCACATCCACAATCAGTCACTCTCCTGCCTTCCACACATGCTTCGCATTCACAATCAGCCCCGCTACATAAGCACTGCACACCCAGCCTGTCATTGCCAGATTGTTCTTCGCGTCATGCAAGTCTCTCCAGCACTCTACCTTGGACTGATCTCCCGGTTTCGACCCTGCCTGTTCCCGACCCGTTCGTCTGTCTCCGCCCCGGTGAGCACCTCAGCCTTCTGTCCCCGACCACGAGTCAAGTCAAGTCAAGTCATTTTATTTTGTATAGCCCATAATCGCAAATTAAAAAATTTGCCTCAGAGGGCTTTACAGTCTGTAGACATACAACATCCTCTGCCCCGAAACCCACCATCGGCACAGGAAAAACTCCCCAAAAAATGAAAAAACCCTTACAAGAGGGAAAAAAGGGAAGAAACCTTAGGGAGAACGTCAGAGGAGGGATCCCACTCCCGGGATGGACAGACTACAATGGATGCCATGTGTACAGAATGAACAATGCATAATACATGCAATTCCCATGACAGAAATGATTCAAGTAATTGTGAGTAGTGAGCCAGGCGCACAGCAGGACCACTGCAGGGGCAACCACCATCAGATAGAACCACCATCCACAGAAGCCTGTGGGGAGGGAGAGCACAGAGATTTTAGGAGAGGGTAATGTCGGTTTATGAGTACAGTAATATGATTAATATCTAAAATAATGATGATGATGATGGCAGCAGCAGGCGTCAGCATGGCCACAGTAGGTGTCATGACCAGGGTCCCGAAGGAACCACGATCTATGGAGACTTGATAGGGGAGAAAGCACAAAAAAAAACTCCCGGAAAGAAGCTGAATTAGTCATGTGCATTAATAAAACTTGAATTATGGTAGAACGAGAGCGTGAGAGAGGAGCTTAGTGTGTCCTAAGAATTCCCCCGGCTTTCTAAGCCTATAGCAGCTTAACTAAGGGCTGGTCCGGACTAACCTGAGCCAGCCCTAACTATAGGCAGAATCAAAGAGGAACGTTTTAAGTTTTACTTTAAAAGAGGTGACCGAATCTGCTCCCCGGACTGAAAGTGGAAGCTGGTTCCACAAAAGAGGAGCTTGATAACTGAAGGCTCTGGCCCCCAGCCTACTTTTTAAAACCATAGGAACAACAAGTAACCCAGCATCTATGGAGCGCAGTTGCCTTGTAGGGCAATACGGTGTTACAAGCTCTTGAAGATACAACGGTGCCTCACCAGCAAGTGCCTTGTAGGTGAGGAGAAGTACCTTAAAATCTATTCTTGATTTAACAGGGAGCCAGTGCAGAGAAGTTAATACAGGAGTGATATGATCCCTTTTCTTAGTTCTTGTTAATACACGTGCTGCAGCATTCTGAATCAACTGGAGAGGCTTAAGAGATTTACAAGAGCAGCCTGATAACAAAGAATTACAGTATGTTACGTAGATGAAAATAGGCTTGAAGTCTTCTTTATATGCGAGTTGAAGGTCATATCCTGGTCGAAGAGAACTCCCAGATTCCTGACGGTGCTGCTGGGTACCAGAGCAATTCCATCCATAAAAACTGTATTACGTGACAGCTGGCTTTGAAGGCGCTCTGGGCCTATCAGGATAACTTCCGTTTTTTCTGAGTTTAGCATCAGGAAGTTGCCGGTCATCCAAGTTTTGATGTCTCCAAGACATTCTTGAAGTCTAACTAACTGGTCCGTCTCTTCTGGCTTGATCGACAGATACAGTTGAGTATCGTCTGCATAACAATGGAAGTTTATGCGGTGTTTCCTGATAAGATCACCCAAAGGAAGCGTATAAAGGGTAAATAAAATCGGTCCAAGTACAGAACCTTGTGGGACTCCGTGACCAACATTGGTGGTCTTTGAGGATTCACCGTTTACAAGCACAAACTGGGATCGGTCCGATAGGTAGGATTTATACCAGCTGAGTGCAGTTCCTTTGATACCAATTAAATGTTCTAGTCTCTGCAACAGGATACAATGGTCTATGGTATCAAATGCGGCACTGAGGTCCAGCAAGACAAGAAAAGAGATGAGTCCTTGGTCCGATGCAAGTAGAAGATCATTCGTAATTTTCACCAGTGCTGTTTCTGTACTGTGATGCACTCGAAATTCTGACTGGAAATCCTCGAACAAAGCATTGTTTTGTAGAAAGTCACATAATTGATTTGCGACGGATTTCTCAAGGATCTTAGAGAGGAAGGGAAGATTAGAGATAGGTCTGTAGTTAGCCAACACCTCTGGAGCAAGAGTAGGTTTCTTAAGAGGTTTAATTACAGCTACCTTGAAGGACTGTGGTACATGTCCTGTCAACAAAGACAGATTCATAATATCTAATAAGGATGTGCTAACTAAAGGAAAAACTTCCTTAAGCAGTTTGGTCGGAATCGGATCCAAGAGTCCTGCCTGAGCGCCTCGGGTTTCTGTTGCCTGCTCCTTGGACTGCCCGGCGCCTCTGCCCCTGTGCTCCGGATCGCCGACCGGCCCAGCGATCGCACCAGCTGACTCGCGGCATCTCCTCCCCGATCCTGAGGACCGCACTCTGCTCTGAGTTAACCAAACACTCCGTGCCGTTGTGCTGCATTTGGCTCCGCCACACGCCTGTGTCAGTACAATCTGGCCACAAAATGGAGCCAGCGCACACCGGTTCACCACAGCAGCGCTTGGAGAGAGTCGAGGGCGCCCTCGTGCAGCACGAGGGGCTCCTCACATCCACCCTGGGCTGAGGTGCGGCAGGGCGACAGCCGGCAGCCACAGGCGCGCCGCCGCTCAGGAGCAGACGTTAACCGCCCTGGTC